GTAAGATTTGTAATAACTTTGTCATAAAATTGCTGCACATAACCTTTGCGGTCACAATTACCTAGTGACTAGTCATGACCAGTAATTAACCCTTATTGATTTTTTGGTCACTAGGTCAAAAGTCAGTCATAATAACCTGATCATATGACTAATTGGGTGCCGATTGGGGGCATACATGTTTTACAAACATATCTTGTTTCTAGGGGCACTGATTTTACTTTTATTTACTATCTAGGTCAATTTAAGGACAATGTAAATTTGCTAAAATTAAAAAACGTGTTATTGTTCAAGCGAAGAAAGCTATGTTTTCTCAGATAAAAAAGCTTGAAAATTGTTACTTTCTGTAGATCTACAGATCCACTTGTTTAATACAATGATTGTTCCTATTCTTTGCTATGGCTCTAAAGTCTGGGGAATAGATTTAAAGTGCATTGACCAGTTTCAGCTTAAATTTTACAAAATTATACTTGATCTCAAGCAAAGTACTCCCATTTGTATGCTATATGATGAACTTGGAGTAACTCCGATATCGTTGCAAATAAAAAGTAGAATTACTGGTGTAAGCTTTTAAATGGTAAAGATGATGTGATTTGTAATATTTTATATAAGACTGCATAGTCTGTATATGTTAGATATAGAACTGAATTACCGTGACTTTCTTTTGTCAAGGATACTTTGGAGGAACTTTGGTTATCAAATTATTGGTAAAGTCATTCTGTACGTAGTCTGCTTAATTTCAAAAGTATTGTTAAGTCCCAACTTTGAGATCAGTTCAAATAAAGTTGGAACAGCGATGTCCAATCTTTAGGCAAATGTTTAAACTACCGTTTATTTGTATTCGAATATTATTTTATCATACTTCCTTGGCAACTTTCTACAGCTTTGTTAAAATTTAGATGTATGAATCATAAATTGCCATTTGAGAAATATAGAGAGAAACTTTTGTATATTTACTTTATGTGAGTCAAACCGATTGGGTGACGAATTTCACATCTCTTTTATTGTTCAAATTTTGTTAATAGTACACGTAAATTTATTAAACCGTATTATTATAGGTATCATAATACATTGAAATTCGAAGATCTTTTGAATAGTTAAAACAAATCAAATCAAAAACAAAATACACATTTAAAAAACCTTGCTTTGTTTTGTAAAGAAATAATAACAACATGCAAATAATAAAGATAGTATTATATCATCAGTCTACTAAAGAATTTTGTTAAAGAAGCATATATTTCGATTAATAATAACAATCTAGTCATATCTTTATTTTATTGTAAGGGTACAATATAATTGTCATTTTATGTATATTTCTATGTGTATTTTCTGTGTTCCGATTGTTACATGTTCACAATTTTGTATTTATGCCACATGTTCTTTTGAACCATAACAATATTGAATAAAATCTAGTGTCTAAAATCTAAATCTAGTGTTCATGCTTACTGTTCTATAGAAATGTCGACGGGAACGAAGTGACCGGGGATTTTTCTATTTTCTATTAAACAGTATTCAGTATTAATTCTTATACGATTTAAACATATTGCCAAAAATAAGACATATATATACTTGTAGACAGTTACAATACAATGACATGAAAATTTTGCAAAAGGGTTGACCCACAAGTTTTCTCAACTTTAGCAACGGGTCTTCCCTGGCAACGGCCCGGGTCTTCCCTTAATTCTTATACACGTAGTGGGCGGGTTTATTTGGCCGATAAAATATACAATGCTAAGGGATAGCACGAAAAAATGTATACTACCGGTTCACAGAACAGACCGTATTACCGGTGCCAGTGATAACAGGTAGCATACCACAGAAATTGAAGCCACAGCTTCGAATGATCAGGAAGATTTCTTGGATTTAGTGACTTTTCTGGATTTAAATGAGTGGTTGTCTTAAGAGTGCATTTTCAGCATGACATTTAATATGATCACTAACAAAAGCATGCTTGGTAAAAACAAGTCATTTTACGGGGGAGGGGGGGGGGGGGGCGGGGAGGGGTTACAAACTTTAAGCAGTAGCAAAAAAAAAAGCAAAAAAGCTACAAGGCGAAACAACTGTTTCTTTGTGATATTTTGCATGTATAGGGAGTTGCTAAAGCAGAGACAGAGTTTCTTTTGCCTGTTTATTTGCAGGTTTTCTTTTTTGCCAGAGGGACGAAATGTTTTCTTTTATATTTGTGTCTCGGGCCACAGAAGATTTTGGGCTTGAACGGAATGAACTTCTTTGACTGCTTGACTATTGCATATGGGGTAATTTCATTGTAGATTTGCAATCCTAAGTAATATTATATGTTCTCAACAAAGTGTGTTTTCATCTTCCAGATAGTTTGGGATCATAATTATCAGACGTATTGCTTGTAGGACATTGACGGTAATAACTTGAAATTTACTGTGGTGTGCAACATGATTACTACACGCAGATAATGAATTTAATCGGTATATTTATATAATGCAAATAAAGTAAATTCTATTACTATGAACTTACTGTCGATTGACAGAAAACTTTGTATTGCGTTCTTCTGTCACAGCAGTATTTTGAACGGATTTATAGACTGCCTTGGGAAAGTCCACGAAAATGATTGCTTTTTTGTTCAAAAAATAGTTCAAATTTTAGATTAATGAAAATGTTTTCGTGTAACACACATATTAGACATTCATCAGTCATGGTCTCGCAGGCCAAACATACCTTCCTTGAAAATGTTACACTCGTCCGAGCTAGCCTGGCCGAAAAGAAAATGTTGCCGTTGCAGTTGTGTTTTAAGGCTGCCGATGACAGTTAAATGCCAGAAATGCTTTAAATATTGTTGACATTCTGAGAGAAATAAAGATCACTATTTTTTCATACTTTTCATGATGATTTAGACATTAATAAAAACTGTCGTGCGATTTTGAAGCAGCGTCGAGAATGCTTTATATTAATCGGCAGTTACAGGGGTACGACCAAATTTGCACATGTACATTATCCCCAAGAAACGTATAAACTTAACCTGTTCAGTAAAGCCACAGGATGACTATCAGTTACTGCCACCGACATTATTGATGATACCTATTGTTGTTGTTGTTGTTTTCAGGCCCCACATGGGGTAACCCCATTTATTTGCTTCGTCACATTACCATTTGTTGGTCGAAGCACATCCCACAGTCGTTTTACAATCATGTTTTACATGCATAGGAACGAGTTCTACCAGATGTGAATCTAATGTAGTGAAAGAAAAGAAGAACAACAATTATAAAAAAAAAATGGAAAAGAAAATAACACAACAAAAACAAAAATACAAAGAGACAAGGACGACACATGCATTAAACTCGCACTCATAACCGTATTTATAAAAAATTGTTTCAAAAGCATCAAAATTATATAAAATCTAATGCATGCTATTTTGGCTTGAATCATTTCTTAATAACATAAACTCAAACAATACTTTTCAGTGTAGAAATAGGACTGACATTTTTCTGTTTAAAATAAAGACATAAATTTTCAAAAAAGACTCCAAACTTTATCAAACTTTAGTAACCTATTATTTATGATTGCTACCTCTTTATCAGTCTTGAGCTTTTGTGTTATAAAGTTTTTGGCTGCAATTATGGAAAGGTCAAGCATTTTACACTGATATACATACATTTTAAAGTATACTAAAAATAAGTTTTTGTGTTAGATAGATCATCTATGCGTTATAGTCAAACATCATTTCTTTTATACCCACAGATAAAAAGGTTCTTCATTTATTATAAGAAAATGCTTTACTGATAAAACCATACCGTTAAAAATTAAGATATAAGATTGAACATTGTATCTATTAATAAATTCATTATAAGATAAGAACTTTCCATCAGATGCTATAAGGTTCGGCTGGTCTGCTATGTATATGCCAAAAGATACCATGCACACGCCTTAACAGTTTTCTTTTATTCAATCATTGTTGAAATGTAAACTTTGTTTTTCTATTGCGAGTGCATGCCTTATATAGAAATTGCCCTTTCTTTAGGAAAGGTGATGAGAAGAGGGGTCTGTAGTTAGTTTATGTTTTATTTTCCACAAAAATGTACCTTGAAACAGACCATACCGGGATCGAAATGTTATGACCAAAGATTAATTTCTATGGGAAGAGCCACAATTTCTCACGTGATTATTTTAGCGAAGATATTCTTCAAGAAATAATGAATAGGTGTATCTAATTTTTAAAGCTGCCCTTTGTTAAAATATAAGACCTCCTGAAAACCTGGGAAATGTTAATCAGCTTCTAACGTTCTTCACCCCACATGCACGCAAGCTCACACACACGCGCGGGCTCACGCACACAAACACGCACACACATTCACAAACTTTTAATGCGTATTACTTCTTTTTCTCTTTGCAAAATAAACAATCCCTCGACGGGTTCAATTTGGATGCAAAGGGTATGTTTAAGATAACTTTATTTTCGAAGTAGGCCTAAAAGTTATGCTATATGCAAAATATGTTTGTTCTTAGTTATTTTTGTTTTTGAGGAGATTTGAAAAATGTGACAAATACATCTTAATGCAAATAAAATAAAGCCTTAAAACCTGTGTTCTAACACTTTTGTTAGAGATTTAGAGATGACAAGGTGATGCTACAAGCCAAACATCTTAGTTCGTAGCTTTGTCGTTTCTGGAGAAAAGATTTTAAAGTATTTTTACTTTATAAATTATTACACAAAATTTTGACACAAAGGGTATGGTTTATATAGATTTTGTAGAACTCTACTACCCTTTGTTATAATAAATATGTCCATGTTATTGTGTTGCTATAATCAAGAAATGTTATTTCAAATAAGTTAGAAACACTAGATGACTTAGAAATAATATTTAAACACTTTTCACAATTATTACAATTTGGCTTATTTCTCAAACTAATTTTTATAAACAGTAAGCTGGAAAAACAGAACATGACATGTGACGGCGTGTCTAACAGCATCCTTTTAGAGTTTTACGCACATGTCAACCATATAAAAATTAATAAATATAACAAAAACACAATATCGTTTAACGATTTTTATTTTATTTTCTGTTTAAACAATGCATTCAACAAACAAACTTGTCTTAAAATTAACATAACATTTGATAACTTGTATCTGCATTTGAGGCACGCATGCATCCATGTTCCTTTAAATGTCCTTATTATATATTATTTTTATTTGAAAGGCAGATTAATCAAAATGGTATACGCAGTATAATACATAAATTATATTTCCAGTTTTGGTATTACTTCATAAAACTGAACATCTATAAAAATCAATCTCTTTTTTTTGTAGCTGATTTTATATTTGTCTGTCCTATAGTAAATTGCCGTAATAAATCACTGCGTTCTGGAATCAACACTCAGTTTAAGAGTTTCTATTTATGGTCCACGTTATCTACCTCTACGCTTGTAGAACTGAACATCTGGCTGTCCCCGACAGATCTGAAAAGATTTGTGTGAAAAGTTTTTACTAATTTATATATATAACTTAATGTTAATGAAATAAAATAAAAACGGCTTCTATACATGGTGATAGTAAAACAATTTCCAAAAAATGCAAAATAATCTTACGAGTGCCGGAAACAAGTGCTTGTTTTATGTAATCTTGGTTGGTTTATTTATTGCTAAAAAAGACATTTCCTATTATGACAGTGAAATTGAATTTTTTAAAATGAATTCAAACCCTTACCTTTTCTTCTTCTGCTGTGGTTTTATTTTGAATTGCCAAATTGCTACAATTCCAATAACAATCATTATCCCTGCAATACTTCCAAACGTTGCCCCTAGTATAACTTCCAGTCTTTCTTCCCGAGAGTCTGTTGGATGACAGCCTATATTGGTTATTAAAAAGCAAAACATAATAATTACACGTTTGAAGCTTCAGAAAAAATCTCCCGATGAAATGTTATTGTTCTGCTAAAGATGAATTAAAAACGATAAATGTTTTCACGATATTCATTTCAACATCATCTATGTTCCATATTCAATATTTAAGGAATACTGTGTATCACCTTTTTTTGTTGTTGAGACATTTAATCACATTTTTATAATTTTCTAGATTACGAGTGGCACGATAGTTGGTTGTATCTAAAGTATGTCTATGAAACAAAATCCATCCTGAAATACAGCATTTAAAATATGAACATCACTTAAATATTTACAGAAATGTACAAAATTGCTATTGCTTATTGATTAACAATGAAAACAAGCTTTTACTTGAATGTATTAAAAACTGTAGTAACGGAAACCTTTGACATTGAAATGTGATATTTTCATTACTAAATATGATGTTTTTGTTTTTATTCTTGATGTTGTTTAATGTTTTGTTTTACAAAATTTAATTCATATTTATATTAATACTATGTCTGTTGTTTTTGTTACCTTCAGAACAATAGTATGTCCATGCACTGTATCTGGTACAGCATCCTGACATTCAGAATTGAACACATTAAGAGGTTCTGGGGAACTAAAGTTCAGTCCATCATTGCTTACTGCGGTGTCATATCTGAGTGAGAAAACAATTTTGTCTGTTGTTGAGCGTGTCTTTCGCTCCTCTGGTACACAACATAAACCAGTGAAATATATCTTCAAACTCTCCAACTTGAGGAGTAATTTCCACGGTTTCCTCAGTGTTATCAATGAATTTCTATGAAAGTAAGCCAAAGAATTAAAATGAGTGAAATAAGTTGATATTTATTAAATGCGTATAAAATAATGACATAAATACACATAACTTTATGTTTTTACAATGAATTGTCAACAATACTTCATTTGCTACACGATAATAAATAAGATCATTGCTGTGATACATGGCGTTACTTTTAAATAAACGTAATGTAGCCTACTGTTGTTACGTTGGATAGCACATGTGAAGTTTTGCAACAGGAAGTGAGTCCTGATATAAAAGCATTCACATACATCGCCATCTGTAATGTTACAAAGCCCGCCACCTTCCATATCATCAATAATTACTTGTGTACGCTCATCTTTTCCGCAATCGAATCCATGGTAGAATTCTTCACACATACACTCACCTATAAAGAAATTCAGTCGTTCAATTCAAAGATGAAATGAAGTCAAGTTATTGGTTTCAATACGTATTTTGTCTATAAATTATAATACATGAGACTTTAGGTGTATTTATTTTAAAGCATATTCTGAACGAAGGGGTAAGAAAAATATCCTCTGGCTCTTAAAATTTATGTCTGCCAGATATATACTTTCGTAAAATTTTTATTTAATGGCACTTTGAAATATATGTTTAAAAAGACTTTTTAGCACCTTCATTGGAACACTGTCCTCGTTGACTGCAGTTTCCAGGACAGGAGTGTTTAATAAAAGTGTCTAGACTGTTTCAGTATGATTAGTGACAAACACAGGGTCACGTGAAAATTTCATCTTCGCTGCAGTATTAATTGCATCAGCATGTACGCCAGCAAGGGATTCGTCATTTCCTGTCTATGAAAGAAATGCCAATTCAAGCACTTAATCAAACTATGCATCAAAGTATGAATTTTTACACCATACGAGCATTTCGGACTTGTGAAACATTTTATAGAATAAATATCTTTATAGACCCAAGTATTGTCTTCCAAATTGATATTTCATGATAAAAATGTGTTAGAGTGGTTTGAAACATCAACGCAAAAGTCATAGAACGTGTTTGAATGGAAGTTACGTTATGCGCAGGGTGTAATGGTAATGTATGTGCGAACAATTTAAATGAGTCTGTTTATGCGTTTCGTGCATTCATAATTTTGCCTCTCTTTCCACCTTAAATATTAAACTTTTGGAGAAAAAATATGGCAGGAAAAGTTTCTTGACACAAATCTATGAAAAACATTTTACATTTCTTGCAGAATCAAAAGATACAACCTTCGCAATTAAATTTTATAACGCGATGACCGTTTAAAGAATTTCGACTTTGTTTAAAAATTATTTAAAAGGAAGAAAATAAGAGGAAATAGACAAGTCCATAATGATTTAAATGTTATTACAGTGATGTGTGAATTATTTCATACAGACCGTAACAAGATGAAAATATGGGTATATAATTTTGAGTTGTCAGTTTGGTTTGAATCGAAACGATTTTGTTTAAAATGATGAATATTTATTTCAATGATTAGTAAGTTAATGTCCTGACAATTTGGCCCCACATTTATATTTTGTCTTTTTTTATTTTGATTTTGTAAAATTTTTTCCGTAAAAAAAGTAAAAAATTTTACACTTAAATCAAAACAGCATGATATTTAATTACCATGACATCAAACATACACTGATCGATGACAGCATTTGGATCTTCGCCGACAAGAGCATCTGAAAGGTCTGTTACAAGCATCGATCCATTTATAATGTTTCCACAGATATCTTCAGCTTCTGATTCAGTAATATATTGTACCTGTTCTTCTCTCTGAAAAAGATGAAGAGGTTTGCACTGAATTTACTTTAATTTTCAAAATATTGGCTGTTCAACTAGTGATTGACCAACAGGTGATATTGGAATACGCTTTATACTAACATCATTATATAATCTGCTATTGTGACATATACTTGAAAGTACACAGGGATATAGCTTGGAAATATGAAATAGATAAAATGGGAAACTCAAGACGACAAATTTGAAAATGCTTTGAAGTTAGGTTGGGGCTATTGATCGACGATATTTGTAAGTGCAAACTATACCGTCAAGGTCCAACAGCAGCGGCGAAAGCACAGCGCAACATTAGTTACAGATTGGTGTTATATCCACAAATGCATGAAATACTTCGGTAATCACTTCTTTCATCAATTAGTATTTAACTCATATATTCAAAATGTCTCTATTTTGGTGTTGTACGTAATCATCAATTCTCGAGAAATCGAAAAAGTAAAACAAAGAAGTGTTACGCGGAAAACCTAACAATAGCAGCTAGCCAATTGTGCAGCTCAAGAAAGGTAACAGAGTGATGTTATAATGTTTAAGCATTTGCTTAAAGTGATCACTGTTACAATTTTACTAATAATTGTATTCGCCTTAAATACAAAACACATACGCAAAAACATTCATTTACAATAAATTATCAGTTGAAATAGTTATGACAATGCAATTAATATTTCTGCAATTTTATATAAATTTTTGACATCAAACTTAAGATTAGAAATAGCGAACTAATTCACAAATAAGATATTATGTATATTATTATTATGATGTGTATACAAATTAAACCGAGTTCAAACACCCAACATATTGTATTTCATTTTATAAAAATCAAGATGAAGCTAAATTTGAATTCCTTCAACATTGACTAGATTTAATGTATTGTTTAAGTGAGCGTTTAAATTCATGATTTTTTATTTCAATTGGTGTAAAATTAGGCACTGCAAAGAACTTGCTCTCTGCATGAGATATATTTCAATCAGTGTCATATGATGGTGACGGATTCTATTTTCCTCCTCCTCCTCATTCTCATCATTATCATTGCTGTCGTCGTCGTCATCATCATCATAATCATTATCACCACTACCGACCTATTTAAAGATACGAGAGATCTCTAATGTTTTCTAATTCCTTCATGTTTTAAAAATATTTAATTTTATTAAAACTATCTACACGGCAAAATGTTTGTATTACCTTAATTCGATAGGGTTTCGTATCAGATTCATACGCTAATTTCATTAGTCTTTCCATCTCTCTTGTTGACTTCTGTTGAATGCTGCGTGCCCTTCATTGCGTCGATACCTTGTTGCATTTTCTTGACGTGGTACTTCCGTGAGTTAAATGACAGTCTAGATACTGAGTAGGGGAACATATTGCCTTTGCAACACGACCTGTAGTTCCAGCTGATCCCTCTAGCGCTTGCTTACATACACAATATAAGGCGTTTGATAACTCCCATTTTTTAAATTCCTTTTTATACACTTTGAAAAGATTTTCATCGTCTTCTAGTCTACAATGCAAAAATAAATAAAATAGCAGACAACTTTATTATAAGCCACATACAATGGAATTTGCTTTTAGAAAATAAGACTAGACTTAATTGACGCTAAGTGTAACAGATGGAAGAATAAAAGCACTACATTTATGGTGATTCTCAAGATTTTTATCGAAGTAAAGAGTATTTAGCTAAAAATAGCCAGGTATGAATATGAAGAGCAGGGAGAATCATACTTCCAACTTTTAGAAAAAGCATCATGGTGACGACGATAAATATGCAGGTGGGGTTGTTTCTTTGAAATTGTCCCATCTCTCCCTCTCAAGTCATTGTCTTGCTTTCCATCAAACTACCCACAAAGCCTTTCTGTTTGTTCAAGATCTTTTGGAGCCATCATTATATCTACATTCATGAAACCGCTGTATGTTCCTACGCCATGTAGTTTTGCATCTACCCATGTACCAATAGGTGTAAATATCTGCAATTGACATTCCAACAAGTTTGCTGCTTTTTTTCCGAATCCGGCAATGACTTAATTGTATAGAAATACATAAGTTTTCAATATTTTCATATTAAGAGTATGATTAAGTATCAATGTAACACAGTTGAATTAATTACTCAAATACTGCTTAAAATGCTCTTACTTGATAACGGTGCACTCGTTCCTTTACCACAACTTTCAAAATCCCTCAATTTTCACATGAGAGAAATTCTGTAAATCGTACATTGTTACATAGATTTATCGCAAACACATCTGCATCTGCGCGTATAATTAGACCACACGTTCACAAGGCTGCGTTATTGTTACACCGGTTTGTTTTCTCTAAAACCTCTTTAAGCAAGAAAATGTGTGTTTGAAATTTAATTAATGCGATATTTCTGCTTTGCGGATTGGTACTTCTACCGGTACATGCAATTAAGTAAGTTTTACATGTATTAAGCTATATATTGTAAAACATTCTTATAAACTTTATAAATTGTAAACGGCAAAATATTCTTGTTACTACATTGGCCGGTTCTTGAAACATTTCTTCACACAACGTCTCTATTTATTGACAAACGTAAACAGATTAAAACAATCTAAAGGCTTTAAGGTATGTAATATTTCTATGAACACTTTCTATTAAAAGTATATCTTTGTCCTTGAACCCTTGGATTTACAGCTTTTCAAATATCATAAATTAGCTAAAATATTTGAATTATCTATTTAGCTCTAAAATTGAAAAGCACTTACAAATTTACTATTCTGTCTATGTTTATACGGAAAAAAACACAACAACACTAGATAATATGAAACACAACCTCACACACACATTAACGAAATCAATGCTTATCATCTATGTACTAGTATGTGCAGTCCTCAAAAAAGGATAATTTTCCTTACTTCTATATCATACTTTGTATTTTTGTAGAGTAGAAATTTTCCCTTGTTCTGATTTTCGTAGTGGCTAAAATATAAGAAACAAAATACTTTTCTGGAAGTGGCAATATTTTGACACTGAATTTATTACATGTCACAATATTTCAAATTTATTTTAGATATAAATTGGCATACTTTTACAATAAGCTTTCTTTTTTCTGAAGTAAGATGTTTTCAAACAAAGGAAAAAATTAAAAAGGTGTAAATAAATCAATCCTTTAACGTTTATTCAAATTTGTTTTGCTATGTTTTTCAAAAGACCAATCACGTCTGATGTGTGTGTGCGTCAATCATTTAAAATCACATTAAGATGAATTTAGAAAAGAATAAGAAAGAAAGAAATGCAAATCTTATATAAGACATCAGGAAATAAATGAGGCGTTTTGAGTTGGGTGCCTTGTACACAGTTGTGGTGCCGATGATTTTTATCGTGCGTTTGATGCACTGGGTAAAAGAGATGTAAGGTAAGTAGATGTTTGATACCATTGCTGTAGCATGTCTAGGTAACAATAAACAAACAATACTTACTATCCATCTGCAGTCTTCATATGAGGGTCAACTCTTGAGTAACACACTTTGTCTTTGTACGCTTTCCTATCATTGACAACAACAAACCTATTTAAAATGAGTGAATTAAAGTTATTAAAATGAATTGCTCCATAATTGTTAGTATGCAATACCACAAGAAATTTTGTTGACCGTATTTAGCATAATTCAAGACATCAAACCATGAAAGGACTACATATGGTTGTTGGTGGTAAGTGCGAGATACATGATTCTATATTATATATAGCTAGGTTACAGTTACGTATCAGTTATCCAGAATACTCGTGTTTATAATATCTTTTTTTTCTCTTTCAAAGGAAACAAACTGCAAGCATCAATAATATATGTAGGTTTATCTTTTGACAAATTGTGAAATGTAGTCGTTTCGACAGGAGTAATAAAACAAACCTGGACATTATGTGCCTGATATTGTGTCCACCATTTATGTCCGTATTCCGTGTCCGTTCGAAGTTGTAACGTAAAGTCAAGTCTGTCGTTTTAATCTTCGTCTATCGTAGTTACATTAAAGCAAAACACCTCTTCAGGGTCCCATTTTTGTCCCATTTTTAAACCCTAAATGTAAAACAGATTTCAATTGAAACCATAGGCAATCTTAAGTATTTGAATAAAACACTATCATTATTGACAAAAATATTTTAAAATGAAGGTTTTCTTTCTATAAATTGTCTTATCGTACACATTTTTATATATTTTATTGACAATTGGTTGTAACATTTATGACAGTCATGTTACTAGTATTACTTCAAAAAATATCAATTAAGTGTATAAAATTTCCAAAAGTTGGTTTACGAAAAGCAATATTTTATCTGAAATTGAAAATGATAAGTTGACTTTAACATTAAAAATTTATTGAGAGTTACCTTTATTGAGAGTTACCTTAATATCCTGTCCGCAAACATGGCTATTTTTCACTTGCGCCACATTAGCACTTTCACACCTATAGCCTACCGGATCAAACATACTCACACCCAGGGCACATGCGGGCTCTTCTGTTGCACTGTTGTATCTGCACCCTAAAGGAACCGTAAGCTGGAGTTTAACTGTTTCTTCGCCATCTTTTGGCAAATCAATTCTAGGAATAAGGACCTTTAAAATACAACAACGTGTTTACATATGCTGTGGATTTTGGAGAACAAATTAGATATTATTTCCCTGTAGAGCGGACTAATAAACAGACACAAGTGTCGCGTTATTGGAGATATGCCGTAAGAGCTTTAAGAATAATCATCCGAATTAGTTTAAGCTAATGAGTTGTTCTTTATATCTTCATATAATGCAATTTGCATTGAATTCATGGACTTCGTTTTAAAAGCACATTATCACTTAGAAACGTATAATTTTACCTGTTTAGAAATGGCGAACATGAAATACATAACGTTTAAAGCATAGTAAAAGAGTATGTTAGATGTTTGTTACATGAAGAAAGTAGCTCTAAATGTGCAAGGTTTTGTTAAAAAATAACAAAATGTAAATAAAATGTAAACAAAATATTAAGCATTAAGAATGTTAGTATTTATTGATTAGGAACGTTAACAATTTATTTACAATTTATTTACATAGTAAAAAAATCAAACTTAACGACTTGTTTTTATAAACATCTCCTTAATGTTTTGGTTTACCTTAAGTTACAAATAGAATGCAAATATGAACAATACTTAGATAAAATAATAGCTAGTCTAATAAGATATATATGTAAATTCAGAACTACAAATCTCCTTCCCTCTAGAGAAAAGTGCCCGCACTTTTAGTAATCATCGTCGGATACCCACGATTGATAAACATGTCACATAACATGCAATCAACCGTGGGTAAAATGAATCGATTTGCGTCGATATACAGCAACAGGTGCGTAAAATATCTACCAATGACATCGCGTTTAACAAATCTATATTCTTCAACAGCGGAGGTAAAAAACAATAAGATACAAAATGGCAGCGCCCACGGTTAAAAACTGTTGTACGTGCCTTGCTGAAATCAATGGCAAAAACTATCGCCAAATCAGTTCTTCTTCAAGCAGATATTAATCAGAAAGGAAAACATCACGCTGTAAAAGTAAATTATCTATACTTTCTTGCCGGAAATCGTTTAATTTTTCGATGTTGAACTTTTAACGTCGTCTATGGTTGTCTGTAATACCGAACGTCGTACAGAACGAGCGTTTTGATTGGTTTTAATCGCCTCGTGAAATCGTGAGGCAGCCAATGAAAAATCTGCCTTTGACACACCTCTAATCGACTGAATATCGGCAAAAAATCCCACGGCTGATAAATGTTAATGGTTCGGCCGTGGGTATCCGACGATGTTGGTAATGAAAGGAGTTAAAAACAGGGAATGCCTGCGAAATACCATCAAGTACCCTTGTCTAGAGGACAATCTTGAGGAGACATATTTGCAAAACTGTAACTTTGAACCTTAACTACGTGTAGAGTAGAAGTTTTACCCCTGAGATATAGTCGAGTGTTGCCTTACAATTCATTACTCAATTAGTTTGAGTTAATTTTAAACGCTATTTGATTACACTTTAACACAAACTTAGAATAAAGTCCATTTTTTCGGAACATTTTTTTATCATTTAGCATACATGAATATTTATCCCTGCAATACATCATATACGATATTTCCTTTTGAAATTGAAATTGAAAATCTCGAGAAATTCATGAAAAAATGTACGATTCTCTATCGGTTCCATTCCTCCAAAACAAAATACATATATGGCATCAATATTTCCTAACAATTATCTTCACAGCGAGTATTCTTTCTGGGTTTCTCCTTTGGTAGTCTGATTTTTCTGTTTTTCGAAATGATGATATGGTATGGCAAATGATGTTATATGCAACCTGTATGTCTCAAAACTACACGTGAGACATGTCGTTATCATAATATATGGAAGAGAACTAATACGATCAATGTTACTTAGACCTATATGTATCATTTAGCAGGTCATATGGTCATATGGTTTTAATTTGAAAGGCATGACTATATCAAAAGAATAGTCTGTCTTTTTGTTTAAAAATAAGAACCAATCATTTGATGATGATTATTCAGATTATATTCCATTCATAGTTTGCTTTCTCGCAAATATTACGAAAATTTCGTTTATATTCAATGATGAAATTAATCATTCTGCCGCCATAGAAGCCTGAAATTTTAACGATAGGACATCATCTCTTTGTGGTATCATACCTACTAGTGAATTAATAAGTTCAATTAATAAAAATTACCGTCAGCGCAGCACCTAACAATATATTTTTGTGTACACCTTTTGTGTTTTTCCACTTTTTCCTAAACAGCCTTTCGACGTCTTGTCTGAAGCATTTTATAAATCGCAAATTCCTTTGTTTTGTCATTTTCCTTTACTATTAACGCTTTGGTTTGACAAACTTTTCAACCATTACTTTGTTATTTGCTTTCCGTTGTAGGTTTGTTTGCTACACGGGGTTGCCCGTGGTGTTGACAATTGTTATTCCATAAGCGACGGGGCAAAACAAATATCGTGCCCATTGTATCTTGTAATCACTCTATCACATCGCCTTATTGTCTTGCCGGTTCGGTGAATTTTTACGTGAAATCGGTTTATGGTGTTGTCGCTTCAGTGGCTCGTACCTTTGGTTTACCGTCTCGTCGTGTCATCGCTTTAACTTGTCTTTGATGTGCATCCTCTTTTCGTTTTGGTATATCATTTCGCTGTGACTTTGCTTTATTGTTTCTTCTCCTCGGCGGATTGATTTTGTTACTTGAAACAGTTTATTTCTTCATGAATTATAATTATATATATTATATTCCCTTAACCCTCTAGATCAACATCCAGTTCATATGTCATTCATTGAACAACATAGTTATCTGATAAGTTTGTTATTAACTTTTTTGTTGGACAACAACATCACTTGACGAGTTAATGTAAAGCGGGAGCAAAATGGAAGAGAGGCTCACGCTCGGTGAATAGATTCCTTTTAATATAAGTTATAATCACATTAAAAGTCTTCTTTGATATGAAGACGCACGTATGGCTAATGCTAGAAAAAGTCTTACACTGAATTGCAGCGTTAATCTGAAATTTTGTATCGTAGTCACACACAGGATAACTATCGATTCCTGCCACTGACGTTATTGTTGAAACCTTTTGTTGTTATTGTTATTGCACAATAAGTTTTATATCCTCGTTGACTTTAAGGTAACCTTGGCCTATATTCTTTTCTTCTAAGCCATGTAAGAAATTATATTTTTGAATGGAATGGTTTTAGATAAACAGGCTCAATAAAACCGATTCTACAACATTTCAGTTTTGTCCTTTTGGGAGTTCTTTAGGAATTTTGTTTTCTCTATTTTCTATTACTTATACGTATATTCAATGTTATCTATTGAAGTTTCAAAATGTTCGGGTAGTCTGTTATGTATATACCACATATTACCATGTACACGACTTAACAGTTTTCATTTATTCAATCATTGTTGAAATATAAGCTTTCTTTGCTATTGCGAGTGCATGCCTTTCTTACTTTGGGAAAGGTGATGAGGAGAAGGGTCTGTAACTAGTTAATGATTTTCTTTCCGCAAATCTTTACCTTGAAACAGGTCCTACCAGGATCAAAATTTAGTTAAAAACCCTAGCAGACTTACAAACAATATTTTCACAAAAATTACAATTAGGTTTATTCTTCAACTAATTTTTTTATAAAAAGCTGGAAAAAATACAACATAAGATGTGACGGCGTGTCTAACAGCATCCTTTTAGAGATTTACACACGTTTTAACAATATAAAACTTAATGAATATAACAAAAACACAATATCTTTTAATGATTTTTATTTTCTGTTTAAACAATGCATTCAACAAACATACTTGTCTTAAAACTAACATAACACTTGATTACTTGTAACAGTATTTGAGGCACGCAAGCATCTTTGTTCCTTTAAATGTCCTTATTATATATTATTTCTATTTGAAAGGAAGATTAATTAAAAAAGAATTATAATACATATATATCATCTATAAAATTAATCTCTCTTTTTGTAGCTGATTGTATGTTTGTCTGTCCTATAAAAGATTGCTGTAATAAATCATTGTGTTCTGGAATCAACAATCAGTTAGAGAGTTTCTATTTATGGTCTACGTTTTCTACCTCTACGCTTGTAGGACTGAACATCTGGCTGTCCCCGACAGATCTGAAAAGATTTTTGTGAAAACATTTTACTTATTTATATATATAACTTAATGTTAATGAAATAAAATAAAAACGGCTTCTTTACATGGTGATAGTAAAACAATTTCCAAAAGAACAAAAAAAAATGCACACTAATCTTACGAATGCCTGAAACAAGTGCTTGTTTTATATTATTTTGATGGGTTTTTTTATTGCTAAAATAGACATTTCCTTATTATGACAGTGAAACTGAATTTTTATGCTCCCCGAAAAATGTCGGGGGAGCATAAAGTCGTCGGGTTGTCCGTCGTCCATCCGTCAGTCAGTCCGTCCGTATGTACGTCCCGAATTCGTGTCCGGCCCATAACTTCATTATTTGAAGTCAGATTTTACAACTATTTCACAGAAAAGATTATCACATTTAGACGACGTGTCGCGCGCAACATTTGGGTCGCTACCTTGAAGGTCAATGTCTCAGCATGACCTTGCAGCAAAATCGTGTCCGGCCTATAACTTCGTTATTTGAAGTTGGATTTTATAACTATTTCACAGAAATGATCACCATATTGGGACGACGTGTCGCGCGCAACATTTGGGTCGCTACCTTGAATATCAAGGTCACAGCATGACCTTGCAGCAAAGTCTTGTCCGACCCTTAACTTTGTTATTTCAAGTCAGATTTTACAATTATTTCACAAAAATTATCACCATATTGAGACGACGTGTTGCGGGCAACATTTGGGTTGTTTTTACACTTTGAACTTTGTCTGTGATATAACTCTGACACTACAATAGGTATACATTCCTGTGTCTAAAACCTATTCGGGGAGCATCACCCGGTTAAATCGGCTCTTGTTTTAAATGAGTTCAAACCCTTACCTTTTCTTCTTCTGCTGTGGTTTTATTTTGAATTGCCAAATTGCTACAATTCCAATTACAATCATTATCCCTGCAATACTTCCAAACGTTGCCCCTAGTATAACTCCCAGTCTTTCTTCCGGAGAGTCTGTTGGATGACAGCCTATATTGGTTATTAAAAAGCAAAACATAATAATTTCACGTTTGAAGCTTCAGCAAAAAATCTTCAAATACAATTTAATTTGTTGTTTTGCTTAAGTTGAATTAAAAGCGATAAATGTTATGAAGATATTAATTTCAGACATAAGTTATGTTCCATATTCAAGATTTAAGGAATACTGTATGTTACCTTTTTTTATTAAGACATTTTAAGATCCTGTATGTTGAAATTGAGGTTGTATACCACACTTAAGTGAAATTATATATATGTATAAACTTATGCTCATAAAAACAAATTTCAAACATCTAAGAATATAAAAAATATTTACTGCAAATATTTGTACATATTATATGAAATCATTAAGGTATATGCATTCATTTCTTATTTAAAATTTAAATTTTTATTTCCTCCCTTTATTTACATGAAATGTTAAATTCGGTAATATCTGTATAAATAATGCTTTTCGGAACTTACGAAATTGATAAATCTTAATTTGAGTATCATATTTATGATATAAAACCATAAAATATTTTCGTTACAGGATCTTTAATCACATTTTGTACTTTTCGAGATTACGAGTGGTACAATAGTTGATTGTATCTGTAGTATGTTGTTTAAAATGAGACACCATTATATGACATTAGAATACAAAAATAATCCTCACTTCTTGTCCAGTTATACTTGCTAACATAAGGCTCGCATTTGAAGCATTTATCTGAAATTTCCGCCTGACTGTTTTGAACGCACATACCGTCTATGAAACAAAATCCATCCTGAAATACCGCATTTAAAATATGAACATCACTAAAATATTTACAGAAATGTACAAAATTGCTATTGCTTATTGATTAACAATGAAAACAAACTTTTACTTGAATGTATTAAAAATTTGTAGTAACGGAAACCTTTGACATTGAAATGTGATATTTTCATTACTAAATATGACGTTTTTGTTTTTATTATTGATGTTGTTTAATGTTTTGTTTTTACAAAATTTAATTCATATTTATATTAACATATGTCTGTTGTTTTTGTTACCTTCAGAACAATAGTATGTCCATGCAATGTATCTGGTACAGCATCCTGACATTCAGAATTGAATACATTAAAAGGTTCTGGGGAACCAAAGTTCAGTCCATCATTGCTTACTGCGGTGTCATATCTGAGTGAGAAAACAATTTTGTCTGATGTTGAGCGTGTCTTTCGCTCCTCTGGTACACAACATAAACCAGTGAATATATCTTCAAACTCTCCAACTTGAGGATTAATCTCCACGGTTTCCTCAGTGTTATCAATGAATTTCTATAAAAGTAAGCCAAAGAATTAAAATGAGTGAAATAAGTTGATCTTTGTTAAATGCGTAAAAAATTATGATAATAATAGACATTACTTTATATTTTTACAATGAATTTTCAACCATACTTCATTTGCTACACGGTAATAAATAAGATCATTGCTGTAAGACATGGTGTTACTTCTTAATAAACGTAATGTGGCCTACTGTTGTTACGTTGATAGCACATGTGAAGTTTTGCAACAGGAAGTGAGTTCTGATATAAAAGCATTCACATCCATCGCCATCTGTAATGTTACAAAGCCCGCCACCTTCCATATCATCAATAATTACTGGTGTACGCTCATCTATTCCGCAATCGAATCCATGGTAGAATTCTTCACACATACACTCACCTATAAAGAAATTCAGTCGTTCAATTCAAAGATGAAATGAAGTCAAGTTATTGGTTTCAATACGTATTTTGTCTATAAATTATAATACATGAGACTTTAGGTGTATTTATTTTAAAGCATATTCTGAACGAAGGGATAAGAAAAATATCCTCTGGCTCTTAAAATTTATGTCTGCCAGATATATACTTTCGTAAAATTTTTATTTAATGGCACTTTGAAATATATGTTTAAAAAGACTTTTTAGCACCTTCATTGGAACACTGTCCTCGTTGACTGCAGTTTCCAGGACAGGAGTGTTTAATAAAAGTGTCTACTGTTTCAGTATGATTAGTGACAAACACAGGGTCACGTGAAAATTTCATCTTCGCTGCAATATTAATTGCATCAGCATGTACGCCAGCTAGGGATTCGTCATTTCCTGTCTATGAAAAAATGCCAATTCAAGCACTGAATCAAACTAAGCATCAAAGTATGAAATTTGACACCATCAGAGCATTTCGGAGTTGTAAACATTTCATAGAATTGTATGTTAAATATCCTTAGAGCGACCAACATTTTAAGCGCTTTTATCACAGATACCAAAGTAGTGTCTTCCAGTTCAAATTGATATTTAATGATAAAAATGTGTGTTAAGTGGTTTGAAACATTAACGCAAAAGTCATAGAACGTGTTTGAATGCAAGTTACGTCTTGGCAGGGTGTAATGGTAATGTATGTGTGACCAATTTCGAAAAACCAAGAAGTGATTCTGTTTATGTGTTGCGTGCATATATAATTTTGCCTCTCTTTCCACCTGAAATATTAAACATTTGAAGGAAAAAATGACAGGAATATTTTCGTGACACGAATGTATGAAAACACGTTTACATGTTTCACTAAAACCTACACGATTAAGTTTTACACTATGACAGTTTTAAAGAAATTCGACTTTGTTTTAAAATTAATAAAAAGGAAGAAAAAAGAGCAAATAGTCCATAATGATTAAAATGCTATAACAGTAATGTGTAACTTTTTTTATACAGACCGTAACAAGATGCAATATGGGTAAATGATATTGTGTTGTCAGTTTGGTTTGAATCAAAACGATTTTTGTTTAAAATGATGAATGTTTATTTCAATGATTAGTAAGTTAATGTCCTGACAAGAGGCACATATGAAATATTTTGTCGTTTTCATTTGATTTGGAAAATGTTATTCGTAAAAGCAGTAAATATGTACATTTTGCCTGCTTTCATTGCACATATGATATGCAAATCAAACTTTTTACCTCTATAATTATATTTTTCAAATCCTTATCCATTAAGTCCATAAGTATGACCGTAGTCGGACTCCGGCATGAATGTGTCTCAGAAGTAGTGTCTCTCCACACAAAAACACAAAAAGAACAAATTGAAACTCTCCCAGACTGAGTGTTTTAATTTAATAAATTACATCTTAAATCAAAACTGCATAATATTTCATTACCATGACATCAAACATACACTGATCGATGACATCATTTGGATCTTCGCCGACAAGAGCATCTGAAAGGTCTGTTACAAGCATCGATCCGTTTATAATGTTTCCACAGATATCTTCAGCTTCTGATTCAGTAATATTATGTACCTGTTCTTCTCTCTGAAATAATGAAGATGTTTAAATAGTCAAGTTAACCTGAATTTACTTTAATTTTCAAAATATTGGCTGTTAAAATAGTGATTGACCAAAGGGGATATATTTTAAACTAACATTTAATTTTAATATCTTACTACATTTAGTCTATGAGAAGGGGGACTGAACATGTTTATTCATAACTTATTCAGTAAAATAAATAACATTGAAAATACATCATTATATAATCTGCTATTGTGACAAATACTTGAAAGTACCGAGTATCTTGGTGTTGTACGTCATCATCAATTCTCGAGAAATCGAAAAAGTAAAACAAAGAAGTGTTACACGGAAAACTTCACAATAGCAGCTAGCCTATTGTGCAGCTCAAGAAATGTAACAGAGTGATATTATAATGTGTAAGCAATTGCTTACAGTGATCACTTTTACAATTTTACTAATAATTGTATTCGCCTTAAATACCAAACGCGTACACAAAATATTCATTTACAATAAATTATCATTTGAAATAGTTATGACAATGCAATTAATATTTCTGCAATTTTATATAAATTTTTGACATGAAACTTAAGATTAGATATAGCGAACTAAATCACAAATAGGATATTTTGTACTTTGATGTGTTTACAAATTAAACCGAGTTCAAACACCTTACATATAGTATTATCTTACATTCAAATTATTTTATAAAAATCAAGATGAAGCTAATTTTGAATCACCTTCAACATTGACTAGATTTAAAGTATTGTTCAAGTGAGCGTTTAAATTAATGATTTTTTTTATTTCAAATGGTACAAAATTAGGCACTGCAAAGAACTTGCTATCTGCATGAGAGATATTCCAATCATTATCATACGATGGTGATGGATGCTATCTTACTCCTCCTCCTCCTCATAATCATCAACGCTGTCGTTATCATCATCACCATCATCATCATTATCACTACCGACCTATTTAAAGATACGAGAGATCTCTTTTGCTTCTAACTCCTTTATGTTTTAAAAATATTTAATCTTATTCAAAGTATCTACACGGCAAATTGTTTGTATTACCTTAATTCGATAGGGTTTCGTATCAGATTCATACGCTAATTTCATTAGTCTTTCTATCTCTCTTGTTGACTTCTGTTGAATGCTGCGTGCCCTTCTATGCGTCGAAACCTTGTTGCATTTTCTTGATGTGGTACTTCCGTGAGTTAAATGACAGTCTAGATACTGAGTAGGGGAACATATTGCCTTTGCAACACGACCTGTAGTTCCAGCTGATCCCTCTAGCGCTTGCTCACATACACAATATAAGGCGTTTGATAACTCCCATTTTTTGAAATCCTTTTTATACACTTTGAAAAGATTTTCGTCGCCAACTAATCTACAATTAAACAAGAACGTGTTTGTTAAACACAAATGCCCCCGGCTCAGATTCTTGTCAGTAGCAATACTTCAAAAAATGTTTACCCATTCACTCAGTTATGGACAGAAAAATCACCAAAAAATTGTAAACACAAGTTTTATAGCTTGACAAAGCCATGGCATTTTGTAATTGTGAAAAATATAAGTTGCCAAGTCATTGCTCTGACTAGTGAAGTTGAAAAATATTCAACTTCATGCAAGTTATCTTCCTACAAAATATGAAATACATCTGTCATTAAATAAAGGCTGTATGGGCAAAAGTGTAAAAATCTATTTTGAGCACTGGTGACCTTGACCAAACTGACCCCTAACTATATCCAAAAGAAGAATACCATGTAAGTTATCTTCCTACCAAATATGAAATACATCTGTCAATAAATAAAGGCTGTATGGGCAAAAGTGTAAAAATCTATTTTTAGCACTTGTGACCTTGACCCAACTGACCCCTTACTCCATCCAAAGGAAGAATACCATGCAAGATATCTTCCTACCAAATATGAAATACAACTGTCAATAAATAAAAGCTGTATGGGCAAAAGTGTAAAAATCTATTTTTAGCACAAGTAACCTTGACCCACTGATCCCTACCCCAATCAAAAGGATGAATACCATGCAAGCTATCTTCCTACCAAATATAAAATATATCTGTCACTTAATAAAGGCTGTATGAGCAAATGTTTAAAAATCTATTTTTAGCACTGATGACCTTGACCCAACTGACCACTAACTCCATCAAAGTTTATGTTTCTATCAATTATAAATAACATCTGTCTATAGAATAAGGTCAATACACCTGTAAAAATGTAAAAATCTATTTTTAACATTGGTGACCTTGACATTGGTAACATTGACCTTGACCCAAATGACCCCATACTACACCCAAAGAAGGAGGTGTTTGTATTAAACTAAGACATCAACTAAAAAATAAAGGCTGTATGAGCAAAAAGGTTTATATTTATTTTTTAAACCAGTGACCTTGACCTTGACCCTAGAGACCGCTTACTCAAAAAAAATTAGAGGACCATCAAAGGTATCCACCTACTATCAGTAAAGAAATTAAGCAATTAGGAGAAATTTAAGATAAATCCAACTTGCCGAAATAGGTTAACCAGACAAGGTCCTATTTTCAAAGTGAAAAAAAGGAAATAACTGGGAAATATGGATGACACAGTTATATAACTTGGCAATATCATGTGCTTTGTATTGATAAGTAAGTGTGGAAATTATAAAGCCATAAGTATAGATAGAACTTAAGATATTTCCAACTTGCCGTTTTAGGTTAACCATTATTCATTTTCTAAGTGCTGAAAAGGGCAATAACTTGGTAAATATGAAAGCCAGAGTTATGAAAGATCATGTAATTTGTATTGATTAGTAAGTGTGTAAACTTACAAGCCATTTGTATAGGTAGAACTAAAGAAAATTCCAACTTGCCGTTCTAGGTTAAACTCGTACGGACAGACGGACAGACGGACGGACGGACGGTTCAATCACTATATGCCCGGGGGCATAAAAATATATGAAATAAAGAATAATTTTATTATATGCTTTGAGAATCTAAAACAAGAGGTAATTGACGCTGTTACAGTTACAGTTACAGAAATAAAAACACCACATTTATGGTGATTCTTAACAAGTTTATTCGAAAGTGAAATGTATCTAGCTAAAAGTAGCCAAGTATTGATATAAACAACAGAGATTCATACTTCCAACTTGTAGAAAAATCATTATGGTGACGTTTATAATTAGGTAAGTCGTATCGTGTCGGGATTGTTATCCCATCTCTCCTTTTTAAGTCATTGTCTGTTTTTCCATCTAAATACCCACAAAGCCCTTCTGTTTGTTCAAGATCTTTTGGGGCCATCATTATATCTACATTCATGAAACCGTTGTATGTTCCTACCCCGTGTAGTTTTGCATCTACCCATGTACCAATTGGTGTAAATATCTGCAATTGTCATTCCAACAAGCTTATTTTTAATTTTGAATCCGACAAGGACTTTATTATACGAAAATACACGAGTTTTCAATATGTCATATTAAGAGTTTGATTAAGTATCAATGTAACGCAGTTGAATAAGTTGCGCATAAAAAACTGCTTAAAATACTCTTACTTGATAACGGTGCCCTCTTTCCTTTACCACAACTTTCAAAATCCCTCCATTTTCACATGAGAGAAATTCTGTAAATCGTACATTGTTACATAGATTTATCGCAAACACATCTGCACCTGCGCGTATAATTAGACCACACGTACACAAGGCTGCGTTATTGTTACACCGGTTTGTTTTCTCTAAAACCTGTTTAAGCAAGAAAATGTGTGTTTAAAATTTAATTAATGCGATATTTCTGCTTTGCGGATTGGTACTTATACCGGTACATGCAATTAAGTAAGTTTTAAATGTATTAAGCTATATATTGTAAAACCTTCTTATAAACTTTATAAATTATAAACGGCAAAATATTCTTGTTACTACATTGGCCGGTTCTTGAAACATTTCTTCACACAACGTCTCTATTTATTGACAAACGTAAACAGATTAAAACAATCTAAAGGCTTTAAGGTATGTAATATTTCTATGAACACTTTCTATTAACAAGTATATCTTTGTCCTTGAACCCTTGGATTTACAGCTTTTCAAATATCATAAATTAGCTAAAATATTTGAATTATCCATTTAGCTCTAAAATGGAAAAGCACTCACAAATTTACTATTCTGTCTATGTTTATACGGAAAAAACACAACAACACTAGATAATATGAAACACAACCTCACACACACATTAACGAAATCAATGCTTATCATCTATGTACTAGTATGTGCAGTCCTCAAAAAAGGATAATTTTCCTTACTTCTATATCATACTTTGTATTTCTGTAGAGTAGAAATTCTCCCTTGTTCTGATTTTCGTAGTGGCTAAAATATAAGAAACAAAATACTTTTCTGGAAGTGGCAATATTTTGACACTGAATTTATTACATGTCACAATATTTCAAATTTATTTTAGATATAAATTGGCATACTTTAACAATAAGCTTTCTTTTTTATGAAGTAAGATGTTTCAAACAAAGGAAAAAATTAAAAAGGTGTAAATAAATCAATCCTATAACGTTTATTCAAATTTGTTTTGCTATGTTTTTCAAAAGACCAATCACGTCTGATGTGTGTGTGCGTCAATCATTTAAAATCACATTAAGATGAATTTAGAAAAGAATAAGAAAGAAAGAAATGCAAATCTTATATAAGACATCAGGAAATAAATGAGGTGTTTTGAGTTGGGTGCCTTGTACACAGTTGTGGTGCCTTAGATTTTTATCGTACGTTTGATGCACTGGGTAAAAGAGATGTAAGGTAAGTAGATGTTTGATTTTCATACCATTGCTGTAGCATGTATAGGTAACAATAAACAAACAATACTTACTATCCATCTGCAGTCTTCATATGAGGGTCAACTCTTGAGTAACACACTTTGTCTTTGTACGCTTTCCTATCATTGACAACAACCTATTTAAATGAGTGAATTAAAGTTATTAAAATGAATTGCTCCATAATTGTTAGTATGCAATACCACAAGAAATTTTGTTGACCGTATTTAGCATAATTCAAGACATCAAACCATGAAAGGACTACATATGGTTGTTGGTGGTAAGTGCGAGATACATGATTCTATATTATATATAGCTAGGTTACAGTTACGTATCAGTTATCCAGAATACTCGTGTTTATAATATCTTTTTTTCTCTTTCAAAGGAAACAAACTGCAGCATCAATAATATATGTAGGTTTATCTTTTGACAAATTGTGAAATGTAGTCGTTTCGACAGGAGTAATAAAACAAACCTGGACATTATGTGCCTGATATTGTGTCCACCATTTATGTCCGTATTCCGTGTCCGTTCGAAGTTGTAACGTAAAGTCAAGTCTGTCATTGTAATCTTCGTCTATCGTAGTTACATTAAAGTAAAACACCTCTTCAGGGTCCCATTTTTGTCCCATTTTTAAACCCTAAATGTAAAACAGATTTCAATTGAACCATAGGCAATCTTAAGTATTTGAATAAAACACTATCATTATTGACAAAAATATTTTAAAATGAAGGTTTTCTTTCTATAAATTGTCTTATCGTACACATTTTTATATTTTATTGACAATTGGTTGTAACATTTATGACAGTCATGTTACTAGTATTACTTCAAAAATATCAATTAAGTGTATAAAATTTCCAAAAGTTGGTTTACGAAAAGCAATATTTTATCTGAAATTGAAAATGATAAGCTGACTTTAACATTAAAAATTTATTGAGAGTTACCTTTATTGAGAGTTACCTTAATATCCTGTCCGCAAACATGGCTATTTTTCACTTGCGCCACATTAGCACTGTCACACCTATAGCCTACCGGATCAAACATACCCACACCCAGGGAACATGCGGGGTTTTCTGTTGCACTGTTGTATCTGCACCCTAAAGGAACCGTAAGCTGGAGTTTAACTGTTTCTGTGCCATCTTTTGGCAAATCAATTCTAGGATTAAGGACCTTTAAAATACAACAACGTTTTTACATATGCTGTGGATTTTGGAGAACAAATTAGATATTATTTTTTTGTAGAGCGGACTAATAAACAGACACAAGTGTTCGTTATGTGTCGCGTTATTGGAGATATGCCGTAAGAGCTTTAAGAATGATCATCCGAATTAGTTTAAGCAGAAATATGATAGCATACAAAAACAATCTTTTTTCGAATGTATTCTGAAATGCTGTACAGTTAAATGTGACGACTTTTCTTACTTTGATTCCAACAAAATAGTCTGGACTTGAAACAATTTGTGTCGCGTGTCCTGTTGCGTCTTGTAAAACTCGAACGCCGCATTTTAGCTGAAATATCCAGGAAACAATATCAAGTGTTTTTTTATTCAAGCATTTTTTTCGTATGTACGTGTATTGTCTTCTATTCCATACAGTATAAATAATGTACTCTATATAAAACTCTATATAAAATGGAGACATATTTTGTTAATTTTAATTGTAATTTTTACATTTATATGAACTGAACATATCTTGCTTTAAAGTATAAAAATTTAATCATTTAAAATTTAGAACATCAAGTTAATGCAGAATATAATATGGATTTCCTTACTGTAAATCCAAGTGGTATCTTATCATCAGTAAATGTTTTTTCATCCAGTATTAGATCTTGTAAAGTCTGTGTTGGCCCACGAATTCGAAAGACATTTCCATTGAAATACCTATCAACAATAAGTAACTTTTGATAATTATGTTTCATTTAATTGTTTGTGTGTATTGACACATAGATACACACATGCATGCATGCGCACGCACGCACGTACACACATATATTTGATATGATAAACAGTAACAAATTGACGTAAGTTCATTGCATTTTATTGTTATTTGTTATCCTGATATCTTTGTCTTCGTATTGATCAATTTAGATTAGATTTTTATTTGTTCAATTAATCTTATTGTTAGTTCCCTTTGTAAAAATATGATATATTTGAAAAAAAAAGTTTTCTAACGTGAAAATGAGGAAGAACTAACAGTGAACGAATTAGGCCAGCAATGTTGTGAAATGTTTGGGCTAAGAAGAATCTTTCGCGAAGTGGGACAAATATGCATGTTCATAGAAAAAACCGAACTTGCTTGTTGGGTTTACCGAAAATACTATATCATCCTTTTCAAAAGATCCGGTGAATTGAAGGATGTACAGTATATATTGATATCTAAGACAATTACAAGGTCCGTGATTTTTAAAGTTATATTGAGCCAAAACTCAAAACTAAGAGCGCTTACTTCGTAATTATTTGTTTATCAAAGTTGCAAGACAAAAACAGTTTTCAAAACAATGAAATCTCGATGTAAGCACGTTTGTCAAAATGGAGTTGATAATCAAAATGTTTTGTTTGACGTTGACAAAATTTTAATGTTAGCAGTTAGTTTTCAAATGGTAATGAAGTGAATGTTATACAATTATCTAATTTCATCGATAAGTTAGAATTGAAGTCATATTTAGCTAGGTTACTTATTTTAAAAAAGTTTTGTATTAAGTAAGTAAATTTTGTTAAGTGTAAAATAAATATGACAGCACATACCAGTTAACCGCATAAAAATAGTCTGCTTGCTGATTAAATTGGCATGTGAATTGAGTGTAAGGCGTGAAGTTAATTGTGTCAACCCATTCACCATTTATTAATAATTTCACATTTTCTTGTATAAAGTGCAAGCTAGGAATGACCATGACATTTTCAATACTAACATCTGTAGGCGGGGGCGAGAAATCTGTAAAAAAAAGAAATCTTATCTCCGAAATATAACGATGTCTTACTACTCGTATTTTGTATTTCATGCTGAAACCAACTTACGTCTGCAAGATATTTGATAGAAGGTTAATATTTACTTAATAATATAATCTAGTGTAACAAATTAATCAGGTTTACAATTCAATATTGCTATTTGGTCCGAGTCTGATAGAGTGATATTAAAGGTATTCAGATTGAATAAAAATGATAATGTGGTATAGGTAAATATTTTATTTATGTAACACATGAAGACATTTAAGTTGTAATAACGCACTCGGTTGCCCCTTAACATCATAATGATGTTTTATATTAACAACTGATGCGCAATATGGCTAACACAAACAAGTGCAATAAACAGACGTTTGAATGCAAGTCTACAGTAGTCCTTTTATTGTACATTTGAATTTGTAAAATATCTGTCTTTAAAATCTTCCATATATATATATCAACAATTTTAAGATTGATAAGATTGTTCTAAAATAGCTTACAGTCCAAACACAACAACCAATTCAAAGTTAAAACATAATTGAACTATATTGTATTTAATCAGTGTTAACTTTTATCAACATAACAAAGAAGCAGTGTCTTATCTACATTTTAATTACACATTCAATCAAATAAAACAGATGTAAAATTACTAAATAACCACCTTTCACTTTTGAGAATAGATAAAAAATGACACCGTCACCATCTTAAAACGCTGAAACATTCTGTTTGAATGTAAATTTGAAACACATACTTTATCTAAAATTGTTTTTATGACTGTAATAATAGCAGTGACCGTAAAAGTGAAGACTGTAGTTTATAAAATAAATGTCGTTCGTTCATAAAAAGAATGCAATATGTGTCTTTTTTCATATCTGTCAAGATATTTTAAATCAAGACAATAATAAATAATTGTATTTATTTCAAAACCATTACAGTTGTGTTTTATCGATTCAATTAAAAAAACTTAGACAAAGTAATGTTTTATGAACGTATGAAAATGGTGTTTACTTACTTCCATCGTCATTCTGCAGCGATGGCGGATCTGTAATAATCAAACATGTAAACTCATTTAAAAAACATAAAAAAGATTTGCAGATGGGCAATGAATGCCAGTAAAACATAGCATTATATTTAGACTAAAATTAAAATACAATGTAAAAATTGTATTTTATAGATGAAATTAAGAATATATATGTATATACTTTTAGTGGTGTTTCCTTTATCTTACCAAAACAATAAGCAGATTGCTGTTTTGTAGAAACGAGAAAATACTGAATTTTCTCTTCGCATTTTCGAATTTGGATATCATAAGTGAAATCGCAATCATCAAATGTGCTGCGAATACAAGCCACAGCACCTACAGGTGTTTCCGACAATGTTTCAGGATCCGGATGTGTTCCTGACAATATAAATATTTTAAGTACTTGTAATTAAAACTCTGCAAGTTACATTGCTGATGGAAATACATATCTTAACTAACTGTATAACCTGACATATTCCTGATATTCTGCAATAAATTATACGAGGTACACATATATCAAACATCTTTTGATAAGCGTGCTTTATTTATCTATTTTCGATTTTTTTAAATGTTTTCATGAAAAGAATTATTTCATAGATTATGTACCAAAATTTTACAATAAGTAATTTTGTAGAGAACTCCAAAAGAAGTTAAACAAACAGACACACATACCTTGAATATAAATTGGTTCATATCCGCCGCAGGAGAAATGATCGGGCATTTTGTTTGAGTCTGGCATCAAGTACTGTTGCTCAACTTTATAGACATTGAACCATTGGTCAGTCAAAACATAGTCATTTATGTAAGGGTCATTTAACCCATCAGCTTTATAGTTTCTCGCGCGTCTCTCTAATTCCGGAAGCAATTGCACATCGTTGCATCCTTGAGGTTTTAATAAAAGTAGGTAAACAAATGAAATGGAAGTCATCATATGTACGTAAATGGTTCAAAAATGACATGTTATGAATGAAATGAGGATAAAATGAGCAACTGAATGATGTATGCTGATACCCTACCTATAGTCGCAGTTATAGTGAGCTATTGTAGAATAGCTCATGTAAAAAGAAAATCTTTATTTTCTAAAACATAGAAAGTTGCTTTAAAACTATTACAGTAATTTTTGATGGTATCATTTTGCACTTATTTTATCAAGAATCTTCCAGCTTTGCATTACTTTCAACTTATATACCACAATAGTGAACAATACTTTTCTAATATCCTATATCCTGAGGACATACACAGACCAGATGTATCAATCTTCCACACAGTGATCTCCCCTTACAGGATTAGATAGATCTCTGCCATCAAAACATTTTCCTCAAGATTTTTGACGATATGAAGTTTTTTCAATTCTGTATTTATTTTAAAAAGTAAACACGTTTTTGCTAATGTTTCAAGATCGTAAGATGTTAAATGGGCACTAAAATTAAAAATAATTTTGGAAACATAAATATTATGAAAATAATTGTAAATATTGAACCTTTTTTTCAAAATCAATGGCCGCTTTCGAAAGTTATGTCGCTGTTTATTACAGATAAAACGATTGTTTAACGATTTCATTGGCGTATCCGCCATCTTGACACAACGGTTACTGGCCGAAGCGTAATCGGTGTGCGGAAATTGCAGATGTATATGAGGTATTATTTAAGTAACTAATTAACTTATTAATCAACGTGTTTATTGAATAACGTATTTCCTTCTGAAAATTAGTTAGCTTTCCCTATGAATATGAATCGATTTTAGATTTGATGAAGTTATCTCAAAAGCAGTATAATGACAAAAATAACTCTTTTTGTGTTATTTGATATGCGTAATGAAACAAATATATTTCTATGAAACTTTATGACCAAACAACTAGTGCTTATTTCTTTTCCCATCATTACTTTCCTTCTAAATAAAAAAAATAATTGTAACCAAATATTAGACTAAACATACCTGATACAATCAAGATATACTGCGCAAATAAAACAACTTTTAAATTCATAATCTGTGTTCGCGTTACATCGATATTATACGCCGGAATGATATGACATAAAAAGTTGAAATATATATATGAAAGTAAATTTATAGATATAAGTTATAAATCTTTAAAGACAGACGTTCACTGAAGCACGATTATCGTTTATCAGTGTTATGTTATTGGATACTTCATGACAAAAGATAAGCATGAACCAATCACAAATAAATGGCATGTATTTAAGGGAAGAGTAAATGCCAACTTCATTTTAAATTAAAGTGGTTTTACATTTATTTTATTTTTTTACTCCATGTACCTCTGTCATGTATGTCACGAAGTATTGTTAGAAATACAAATGTATCATTCAACAAGTTTATTTTTGAGAATTTGTGGGGAATTTCTAAAATGTAACTACAAATGAATGTTAATCAGAAGAACGGGCATTATATCTATTATCATCGTATTTGCGACTTTAAGTCCTTACGTTAACATTTTTTTTCACGAAATGAATTGTTTCATTACAATATGTCTGTTCCCTTATGATATTCGTCCTTAACTTTTGACAAATTACTGTAGCATTAATTTATTAATTCAGATAAAGAATACAGAAATAGTCCTTAAGTAGCTATCGATCTATGTAAATGATGTGCGTTACCAAAGTTATGTTAATTATTGACAGGAGTTGATAAAAGATTTTTTCCAGTGAAAAAGTATGTAAATGTAAACTAAAATTTCTTATTTTATATAATAAACTTTAACTACGTGTTGTACATAAATGACTGTGTACTATTTTTACTATCTACCAAGCTGAATTTTATAATATTGTATTGTATATTATAACTTGTAATTCAACCAGATGGACATCTTTTTGATATTATATTGCGTAGTCTTGAATTATGCTGTAATAAACTTAAAAACTTGCAAAACTTGTAAATGTGCACATTCATTTCGAAATAAATCATGTCAATTTGGTAATGCTAAAGAGATTACCCATGGTACGAGTTTGACATTTACAACCGGGGCACTAAAAAACTCTGCACACGCACGCGTGTTTAAGAGTGTTTGTTTTTCTAGTACGGATTATAAAAAATATTTTGTAAACAAAAACGATATCGCAAAACAAATACTGACATCATTTGAAATTTATTGTTTTATGTTTGCAGACTGTTGAGTGCCAATTTTTATCTGTAGCCGGATAGATTTTGTATTAAATGAATTGATTTGATCAAATTTTATCATATTCATATTCTGAACATTATTTTAGTTGTATTGCTGCTGCAACTTAATGTAAAACGTAAAAATGGAGAAAATAATTGGGATTGTGTTATTATACAGCATTGTATCCGGTAAGCTTTTGTTGTTTTATGATTGATTATATTTTATTGTTTTGCTCGACCATTTTTTGTTTAAATCAACATTGCAATAAGGCATTTCTTTATATTATTTAATCATTGTCAATTTTGCAAACTGAAATTTTGCAACTTTCACAATAATTTTGTTTACTTAAAACATTTTTTTGATTTAACTGGATTTCAATTTTAAAATTTTAAAACTAAAAAAGCTCATCGTGTAAATGTATACAGTCATGTAAAGTTTATAAATCTACTTCAAGATTATTGAATTCTTTTGAAAAATGTTTAAATATATTTCCTTAGCTTAGTACCTACAAATGAACTTCTTAAAAATTAAAAATGATAATTACAAAAAATAAAAGGCGAATAATATTTTTTCATTAATCTATATTTGTAATTATATCTGACCAAAACACTCCATTTTATCAAATAACATGAAATAATTTTTGTGAGGCTTAAGATCAATTTTGCTTATTTGGGGTTTATTTGTTGTTTTTGTATTATTTTTTATAACAAAAATTTGGTTGTTTTTATCTCCTTTTTTATTTTGTTTTCAGTTTTTGCACAAAGAAATTGTAAAACGATCGATAGTACGGGTAATAAAAATGTTTTGTTTCGGATTTTCATTTAGAAAAAAAAAAGAAATTTATAAACCAATGAATGAAACGCAGAAACAGAAGCAATATAAATTTAATTAAACGTACTTTTACATATTTTATAGGTAGATGCGGTATGACATGCCATTCCTTTTAAAACCAGTAAGAGTCATAGAATAAAATTCCCTTCTTTCTTCTTACTTAAATTTGCAGAAAGTAAAATAAATAACTGCATTTCTAGAATAGGTTATGATCACATATCTATAATTATCTTATTTCAAAATAGATCCGTGTTTACGCTATAACAGCAGAGAAATGCCATATTTGTACAGTCGACATCCATATATTAGGTATTCGAGCGAAACCAGTGACATCAACAAATTTTGTGATTTACATGCATTAAATGATGGTATTTGGTATATAAGTGACTATAATATTACACAGGGGTGCGTTCAACAAGAATCGTGTGGCTCACGATTGCCAATTTGGCTAAATGGTATGTACTTATGGTAATGTTTTGCAGAGTATAAATGTTTCAAGCTGTTAGAAGAATTTCGATATGTAGCTACGCCCAAAGATTTTTTTTAAAAATAAAAGAAACTCGTAAAGAATATTAGTGTATTGTAAATTCAAGAGACATTTTTTCTAATTATCTAAAAGAATTAGAATTCTTTACATGTCAATGGGATATGAGCTTACTTAAAAGTTAGCCTATTGAATTTGACAAGCTGTAAATAATATCTGTAGAAAGCTAGTTTAAAGGCTAGTTCAAAACATAGGATAAAATAATGTTTTAATTGAAGTAAAAATGGACATAAGTGTAAATGGTATGCAGCTTTGCTAGCAAGTTAATATTTTTGAATCTTATACGAAATAGAATTACATTTAATTGTATATCTCCATTTAAGTTTTGTTAATTATTTAGATATTTCTAGGCACAATTCCAAGTACCAGCGAAGGTGCGGTTAACCGTTCAGGATGCCTCAGAAATTTTGATGAATGTTGTGCAACTTCGTACAAGTTAATGATAAAAAACTGCGGCTTTTACAACGTTTACTGTTTTTGGGAATTACCAAATGGTTGTCCACAGCGATATTGTTTTGGTTTGTTCTATATTCTTACATTGGTAAAAAGAATCCTTTACGGCTGAATTATTTAGAAAAAAAAAACATTGAAACAATATGTAGCGATAAAATATCTTTAACTGTGTATATAACAATACTTAAAATAGCCTTCAGAAATAATTTCAAAGAAACGCAAAATGTAAAAATGTGCTAAAAAGATTGATTCATTTCAGATATTGACCTGTCTAGAACTACAACCACCACCACAACAACCACTACTACAACAACAGCCTCTACCACCAGTGTTGGAACGCAAACAAAAAGTTCTGTTTAAATTTTATAAGTAAAATATTTCACAAAGCCCCATATCTAAATTAAAAATTAAACAATATTCATTAATATTTCTTAATCGTTCCTTTTTATAAAAACAGAATAAACAGTATATTAAATCAGAGTGTTATATATATTATTTATTGATACACAATATTAAGATATAACCAACTTAATCTTATCAGGTGAGAATGGAGATGATAAACAAGTCATTATTGGACTGTCAATAGCAGTAGCAGCGGCCGTGTTTGCAGTCCTTGTGCTTTCTGGTTTTATTGTTATCCTGAAAAAGTTAGTAAATATTTTAGCTCTTTTGTTGGTCTACATGTATATTTTTTATTTTAAATCCACTGACATGATATTTTAAAAATGATGAATATATAGTAAGATATACTTTAATAATTATATAATTATATAATATAATTATAAGTTCACCTCGATAGTTGCATACCTATTTTATATCTTTCCTGACTGTGTTTTTGTGTGCTTTACAAAAGCAGATAAACCCGATTAATATTTACACATAGAGAATTTAATTGGATGACATATTTTTACAAAAGTAAAAAGAAATTTCTTTTTTTTCTCCAGAAAACTTGCAAGCTCAGTGCTTCCAACAACTTTTTCTGGGTGAGTACTTATCCCATTGTAATTTTATATTAACTTCTTTCTGTATACACTTTTTCACTTATTTGTCAAAATTATTTGTCTTTTAAAAGAATCCACCACTGAAGGTTTTTGACATGACGGAACTGGAAATATATTTTTTTTAGATTAACGTTCCATTTGACATTACTTTTGTGCAAAATTCCAGATCATTTGCTCACTCCGTTCTTCCAAAATTATCATTCTTTTTGTGAAAAATGGCATAAATTGAACAGCGTTGAACTTAAATCTATGGAATACATAATATAGCACGATAATACGATCTTCAATTATACTAAATGTATTTCCTAATTATCTTTTCCTTATCTTTCTGTTTTATTTTCTCCAGTTGGTCTATGTACAAAATTCAAATTTTATGCTTTAGGCTTGTTCTCGTTTTCGCATATATATTTCTGCTGTCGGAATGATAATACCATGGTTATTTTATTATATTTATGTTTACAGAGAGAAAGTTGCCATCTACTAGAAAAAAAATCATCCGTATGTATATCTTTGTTAATTAAAAAGCCTTTTCCCTTTGTTTGATAAAATGAACAAATGCAAAAATTATTATCTTTTGTCTTACCGATTTTGCATAAAGCATATATCTTACATATAGTAAATAAAATTGTAGCAATATGATAATAGACGGCGATATATGAATTAGTTTTATTTTTTTCGTTATAGGTTTGAAGCAGCACTGAAGTATCATAACGACGTAAATAATTCAATTTGGATTTAATAAAACTTTGAATTTGGCATTATGTTGCGTTACGATTTTATATGACATATTTGCTTGTTAATTTAAACAGATGTGTAGCCATGGTTTGTATTCAGCAGAATTTATTTAGAAATTTAGAAGAAAAAAAATGTGTGCAAGTGCAAGTTGTGATTATCTTAAAACCATATTACTTAAGAGAGTTTGTATTGACATTTTTGGTGATCGTTGACGTTTGCTTTTAAACATTATTGGTAAAACTCTGCTTCAACATACGAAGAAACCCTAATTGTCTTTTGTTAATATTTCAAATGTAAGGTTATGTTGTTTATTCCGTACTTTTCAAACAATACACTTGAACATCAAGACTTGAAATCAGACGGAGAGAGCAGAGAGATTTGTTATCAAGTTGTTTTCCCATAAATTTTAGCTTAAGTTCAGTAATATTGAACCTTAACAATGTCACACAATATATATTATATTGAGCGAAATCGGAAAAAGAATGAAAAAGTGTAAAGCATATGTATTACAAATGTACTCTTTTAAGATTGTTTAGGTTAAATGCATTATGCAGTCAAAAGTTTGAAAACTAAAAAATACTTAAATTGTAATATAAACACATAGTGTAGTTCAAATTGATCATTTATGTGACGCAGTATGCTTACTATTATTCTAGTTATGTTTTAAAATGTTATAATGATGATTTTTTTTGGGTTGTTCTTAGTTACATGTTTACTTTATTTCACTTTACCTGATCATTTTATGGTCAACGTAAGGTTTCGTGAACCTTTCCCGTCCGTCCGCCGTGTGTGTTTGTGTGCATCAACACTTAAATATCTGCACAGTAGCCGTTTGATCACTCTTTCATGGAAATTGCACCACCCGTAGAGTTTGATTCCTTTCTTAAAGTGAACTGATGGCTAGTCCTAGTTTTGACCCGTGAAAGAGCCGTATATTTTTTTAGAAAGAGAATTTTGTCTGTCATTCAATTTTTAAGATTTGTTTTAGGCGTTTAAAGATCCAATCATTAATTGTTTTCTTAATTTTGACGAAATTTGTCGTAAGAAATTTTAGTTATTAATATAGTTTATTAACAAATTATAACAATTATAACAAATTAAATTTGACCTAATCCTTGAATGACATTGACCTTACTTAATAAATATTTTTTTATTGAATTGTCCACAACCTTGTTTCTTTTTATTCATATTTTGAGAAAAGAACGTATTATACAAAATCTCCGTGAGGAGTCATTTAATTTAAGTTATTTGATAAAGGATTTTCTACATCAATTGACGCAAGACCATCTTGTACACCATTGTCTGACCATTAAACTGATTCATAAAAGTATTTATCTATCATGCACATTCAAAGTCGTTTTAGTTCTGTGGTAAAAACTGGATTATTATGTTTTCATCCTGAGGTCTTCCTCCACCAATAAAGCTGGGACGTTGCCATATGACCTTTACTTCGTGTGTGTGACATAAAACCAAATCAAACAAACAAAATTTCTTCCATCATGTTAGGCCGCAAATCATTTTTTTCTGTTATTAAACCAATAATTTAAGGAACTATCTAATCTGACTCCCTAAAAGTCCCATAGATAGGTTGATTATTTGAAAACCAACATCTCGCAATCATTGTATTATGCGTATTCATGTGAAGGATTTACGAAGATCATTTTGTTCCTGACTTAATTATACATTTTTCATGGTTTTGTCTTTTATTTATTAATTATGTTTTGTAAATTTATATTAAACATATATAACCAACAAAACTTGTTATTATTTAAAAGCTATCAATATCTGCCTTCGAAGTGTTGTAGTGTTAAATATGCCGAAACGATACATACTATGCAAGTGTGAAAATTACAATCATTACCCAAACTGATTTTTGAATAAAAGGTACATGTATTTGTAGTATATAAAAATTGTTAAACATATTTAACGATTTAAACTAAATGTGAATTTGTTTATTTTATGCAAATCATATAAATGTATAATGTTTCATTTTCAACAATTTTTAGTGTAAAGAAATAACATGCTGTTTTGTATCTCCATACTTTGTTATTCTTTTGAGCAAATATTTTGCCTTTATTAACTTTTGTTCAAAGTATAATGCATAGTAAATTTATTTTTGCTATTTGGTGTGTGTTGAATTTTATTTGTTCAAAATACACTTACAAATTTATAGCAATCGGAGTGAAAAGTACTTATGCTCGCGAATGAAACAATTTGATTAATATAGGCTTGCAGTTATTTATAAAGTGAGTCTATTTGTACACTGCGATTGTTATCAGTTTATGTAGTTAAAGACGATGCAAACCAATACGCAGAAACTATAAGACATAATAGTGTACGAACTGGATTACACTCCTTTTTTAAATAGTCACAGGCAAGAATACAAGTTAGTTTTAAACACTGGCAGATTAATTAATTATTCATGTATGTTGGATCAGAACAATACTGTAGCGGAAGAAACAAGAACCCAAGCGAAACAGTATTATTTCCTCATTCGACCGTCACAAGGCATATAACAAAAACACCGCGCATGTACTCTGGTGCAGACATAATATGCGTAAATAGGCACAATCTAGCGGACTGACTAAATGTGTGCATGCATCATGGGATTTCATTATAAATCTGATGAATAAATCGCCCAAAGTAGACGATATTTTGAGTTCAGACCCTACGCCCCTAGATTTAAGATCAAGGCAGATTTTAAAATCGTCATATAATCTTAAATACAGTATGAAACGGTGTCCTGTTTATAGTATTTACATGCATGATCGGATTTCAAATACAAATTTGCTTCTTTAAAAAGAAGCATGCGAGACGTCTTTTTGCTGCTGTAGAAGATTTATTTAATTCGAAAATATTTGGGGTTATTTTGCATAAAAGACACAATGAATGGTTATAAATTACAATTATTTAACAAAATAAAATTCATTATATATATTGAATATGGTATCATAATGAAAGTTTGTTTTACACTTCATTTTTTAAAGACATTTTCTACAGTTTTATGAAAATTTAATCCTTTCATAGAATTTTCTAAATTTTATGTATGATAAGTAAAATTTAATGGCGAATTCAAAAAAAGAAAGAAAAATATATGTTGACGTGTTGGATTTCTTGAAAAATGGCAGTTTCCATGGTAACCGTATATCTCAAAACTGTCAAAATAGCCAAACTATGTTATAACAAATAGAAAATGTATAAGATAGCTTAATACACACAACAAGCATTGTTTTATGCAACAATAACCTTATCTAATGATTCTGTATGAAACAAATGATAATCTGAACATATTTCTTAAAAAAATGAGTTTTCCATGTTCCTTTACCGCACAAAAAATGAGAAAAATAAACATGAATTTTATGAATAATTAAAGATATTGAAAAATTTCTTTCATAGGATTTTCTAATTTTTTTGTATGTTGTGTAAAATTTAATGACGAATTCAAAAATAAAAATAAAAAAATGTTGACGTGTTGGATTTTTTGAAAAATGGCAGTTTCCATGGTAACCGTATATCTCAAAATTGTCAAAATAGCCAAACTATGTTATAAAAATGTATAAGACAGCTTTTTACACACACAATAAACATAATTTTATGCAAAGCTTGCTTTATTTTAGGGCTCTGTATAAAACAAACGATAATTGGAACATATTTCTTTAAAAAAGAATTGTTCATGCTTTTTAACTAAACAAAACATGATAAAATAAACATTAATTCTGTAAAAAATTAAAGCTATCAAGAAATTTCTTTCACAGAATTTTCTACATTTTTGATATATCAAGTAAAATTTTATGGTGGGTTAAAAAATAGAAATAAAAATATATGTCGACATGTTAGTTTTTTTTGTAAACGGGCAGTTTCCATGCTTACCGAATATGTCAACTGTTCAAATTACCACGCTTTCTTAAGAAATATCAGTGTTATACTAAATGTATTGTCAGATATACAACAAAAACATGTTGTAATAAAAATTTCTTTTTCTTTTGATGTTATATTAAGTAAATGGTACTGAATTTGTTTTTAAAACAGGCTATATAGGGCCATATTATTTTTTCACTCGACTTGCATACGAACAGTAAGCAAGTATTTAGAAATTTACAAAGAAAATAATGAAATTCGGAACATTTCTTAGATATTATTTTTGTTTTTTATTCAACACTTTTTAAATATATCATTTTAAACTTCTTTGCCCAGTTGTCTGCCAGTAATCAAGTGGCGACGCACTTTCGCCACTATACCACAAGTGGGTGGGGTAACGCGCGCCGAATCATCATCAATGCTATCGTACTAATGCTAGGAGAAATATTTTATCTTATATTGTCTAAACGACCTCTTATTCTTTTGAACCGATCTCCTTCTGAACATTTAGAAAAATCTATTCTGTTTTATTTACTCATTATTTGCTTATAGCCGAAATTTAAACACTTATCCGAGTACTATTCAACTTGACCTTCTTTTTGAAGAGTAATTTTCCGTGATTATCTTTCTTGGAAGCGCATCACGATGCGCACAAAAAACTACCGAAAACATCTTTAAATGTTTTGAACGATTATATGCCGGAGCAATGGAATTTTTTCTTGGTGCATTAGGGATACTTTTTCTAAAAGGGAACAATTTATGTTATGTCATCAAACTAAATTTAAAATAAATGATATACACGTGTATATATATTAAAAGTAGTATCAAAATGAAAGTTTCTTAGCACATTTTTTTGGTTAATGTTTTGGTAAGTATATGGAAACATTTCCTCTACATTTTCCAAAACGGGCATAAAGTTTGTTAATCAAACAATTTAATGTCCCAAATTTACGTGAAAAATGTGTAAATCATTTGGTTACAATAAACAGTATATAAAGCTACAAACCTCCAATCACAAAATTTCACGAAAATCTTGAGAAAAATTTGTGCCATTTGCGCCAAAGATCTCAGTTGCGTTATTTAGTTATACCGGTTCAAAAGGAGCAGCAAAATATCGGTACACTGTTCACTCGGAATGGTGATATTGCACCTGTTATGTTCACTGTACTGTTACTATTTACCGGAACATGAAATAGTGAAACGCTATTCAGAAAACAATACGGTAATCGATTTATACAATTTAAAAGATTAAAACGGTATGAAACATCCACGTAGCGCTTAGTAACGTAAATGATATTTTCCGATTTTTCGTTTAAATTAAGTCGTATTTTGAAACGGAGCATGCGCAAAACAATTTTTGTAGACTGCTTCTAATGATTTTACGCTTTAAATAAGATTCGTTCACTACAATCAGATACGCAAAAATTAATGCCGCCAGCAATCAGTCTGAACACTGTGGAGAGGTCTGGTGACCTCTCCAATAAATGGTATTTTCAAGATCTGCGTTCCTAGGTATAATGGAAAAATATAAGGTCGAACACAGTATATCGTCTTAAAGAACTGGTCCTATTCGTGTTAGAGTATTTTCCGCCTATATTTGCTATTTATAGTTTACGTAAATAAAGTAATACTTATGGCTGAAATCGCACTATATATCCTATCCAAAAATAGCTCTATAGTCAATTATTACTATTATGATCAGATCAACTGAGAATTAAAAAGGAACAATAAGTCTAATAAAATTCTTCTCATTTTTCAGTCTCATTTTAAAATGCGTCGAGTTTTGCACAACGTATATCAAAAATCGTGACAAATTTGGAATATAAATATTTTGGAAAAAAATGAGATGGTAAAATGTTTGGCTTATTTTAAGCGTACGTATCTGTGGTACTATTCACAAATCTGAATAAGACAGACAGACAGATAAATATATTCAAATGAAATTGATAATCGCATATACCATTTACATTGCTTAGGTTGCAAGAGTCATTCATCTTACAATTAGATTTTTTACATTGACAAATACGACATAAATGAACCATTAAAGGAAATGAAATAATGTTACTAAGAAATTAACAATTTTAGAGTTTCTTTTCAATTTCAATCGTACACTCAAGTTTCAAGCTTAAATGGCCAATGTCTTTGGCGTTCTTATATATTGTACCTTTCTTCTACGATTTTGCCATACATCTCTTTGATATACTTAGTCTATATGATTCAAATGCCCATATCATATCAACCATAAAACAATGTTAAGGTTTTAACTTTCTAAAACTTAATGCAGCTTAATTACAGCATTCATTATGAATGCTCATCATCTCTTCATCTAATAAATAGCGTTATATATGTAGATTGAAGCCTTTGTATTCATTTGCAAAGTAGAGGAAAGATATTCCATCTTTTCCATAGCGCTTATGGTCAGACTAATTCAAAATAAGTCTTTTCAACTTGTTTTCTTTGCTTGCTTTTCATTCTCTTAGGAGACTGTTTCACCTTATCAAAACCTTTTGATGGTATGACAAACACTTATAAAACATAATTATATGATCTAAATATAGCTGCAATCTCATTGGTCAAAACAGTAGTCAACAGAACTTTTTTTTTATAGAATCATATTCACTGGGTGAAGTATCATATTAACTGGCTTAATTGAATTTTCCCAGTCTAAAAATAAATTGAGACTCATATTTAATGACTATATATCGTCGACTGTTAATTACGCCTGCTTATTAAAAAATGATTGTTTCGTTTTTGTTCCTTATGACATATTTCTCGAAGTTAAAGGTAATACCACAATGATGAGTATAAACTTCAATTACTTTTGTTTGCGCAGCGTTCGTAAAGTTGTTGCACGCCTGACACGTGCGTCTTTTTTCCCGCGCTTAAAGTTGTACATGTATAAGGTTGTACTTTCTGTTCTCATAGCCTATTTATAAAATAAAACAATTATTGACTAGTGCGCCATTAAATATGATGTGATAACTTTGTCCCTTTTGTATGTATTGGCTGCATAAATTATGTCAACATCTTGTCTTGAGCCAATGTCACCACTGTAATCGCACGGTTGGATAAAAAATTATTTTGTACTTGGATTTATAGCAATTATGATGGACATAGTCTTTATGATCTTTTTTTCAAAATTGCATGCAATGCCTTCTATCTTACCAACAAAAGCGTTTTTAAAGCAATAAATTCATAAAGAAATTAATTGTCGAAATAAACATTTATTGTGTCAAAACATGTGGCCAACAAAACACTCAGCCACTGAGTTTATTGCCACTTTACAACTTTAAAATAGATATTTCCTCTATATATCAATTCATTGTTAAGTGGTCCAAACTACTAGAGTGCCATAACTTAAAAATATCATAAATTGTATCAAACCACCGACTTTGATACTTAAGTACCCTATAATGAATAAATCAGTATACAAGTGTAATACATTATAAATATTCCTTATATAACATTGTGTAAATAAATGTTAAGTATTAAAAAATTCTTAAACAGGGTAAAAGTGTATTGAGTCTGTTTATAATAATACTCGTATAAGTATCTATAATAAATTTTCCATAACAATATATTACCGGTGTCAGACTTTCAAAATGAGATTAAGAATATAAGTCAAAATTAAACGTTATTTCTTTTTAAAACTCGTACGCCAAGCATAAAATAAACATGTAAAGCTTTAGTGCTTTGTCTTCAATTAAGAGAAAACATAAAGATGGCAAAGATTATTTTCGTGGCATTACATTTACTGTTCTATGTAAATGGTAAGTTTTAATTATTATCGTGTAAGAAAGAAAAGTAACTAAAATAATCGTAACGATATCAGTCGTGATCTGCATTTTCTCTTTTAGCGAGACCGTTCAAAAGTCCTGACTTTGTGAGCCAATGGTTTTATCTCCAGTCCATTCCGGGTCGTGAACGGATAGATGTGTTCCATCATCTTGGTGAAGTTCCTGATCTGGTTCAAGTTCAAGTCCGCAGTATCTCCAGTAACAATCCTGGCTTCATATTCCCTGCTATTGGTGAGTACAATTAACAATTATTATTTCTTTCCTTCTGATATAGTTTTTTTTATTTTTTTATTCAGGTTTGGAGCAGCAGGTTAGAATTTTCATATAGATTTTTAATTTTAAAGAGATTCTGACACACCAATAGTGTGCAATACCACATGCATTATCTCGAACCGTTATGAATAAAATGAAATGTATATTAAAGTAACAAGTACATATTCGGAGAAAAAAATGTTTACTGTATGTGTTTGTTGAGGCACTGCTGCATACCAAACATATAGAATTATATTATACATTGTCACAAACACATTGTTTTTATTATAAAGTATTATTAAAGTATTATTTGATATTTTTTAATGTATTACATTATTAATGTTGCAGTGTTTTTGTTATTTTTAAGAGTGTTTCACTTTATCAAAATGTCTTCCATCAATGTTTTTATATCAGAAAGCATTTTAGACGCAGTTCGGACTTTTTTTCTAGAACAATCTAGCAAGGAAATTTATGTTTTTAAGGGTGAAACGCTAAATAAATTCAATAGATTTAGATAATCAAAACAATTTATTTCTTAGGAATTGTTCCACGTGATGATGACGAGATTGAACCAAGATCCGGTATTGTTTATTTATATAACGAAAAGATGGTTACGATTTCAGCACAGAGCAAAAACAATCATTATCAAGGAAGGACAATATATACCGGTAATTAAGAAAAATATTGTAGTTAATTTTTGACTTACAAGTGGATACTAAGGTAAAATATAGGCACATATCAGAATGATAGCGATGTCCAAGAGCCTCTTGTTTTCGCTAAAAATGTTTCCAATCACACCATATTCAAATATCACAAGTTTTATGTCCATTAATTCTAGCATAGGCCTTAAATAGTCTTGTGACAGAAGAATGTTAACAGAAATCTAATAAGAAATATGTCAAATATTGTGTTTTGAGTCTTGAGAAGAAAAAGTTCAAATATCTTCATATGTGAACGACTAAGACTTCAAAGTGAACAAAAAGTAACTGAATATATCATTGTCTTCCATGTTTTTACATTTTTTGTATACGTTTTATCTGTTCTTCTTTTGCTTACAATAATCTAGAAAATTCAAATTATTGGGAAGGCCCAAACAATGACGACTCATTTGATTGTTATGTAAGAGTGAGAGCATGGAAAACGTCTTCAATGCCTGTCCCGGACTTTCAAATGAAAAATATAAAAATACATGCAGCCTGTGAAAAAGGTAAATATTGGTTTTAGATATTGAGATGTAATCATTAATTTTGCAATGAGATTATTTACAAATTATGACGGCTGATTTACGCCATGTCTTATTTCTGGTCTCCTGCAACACAATGCAAGAACGCAGTAGATCGGCACTCGAACATTTTTACCTTTCGTGGCGAAAATGCGAGTAGACGACAAAAAGAGGGAAACACTATTAGATAATTAATGTGCCACGTTAGTCGTCTCTTTATGTACTGCATGTTTATTTTTTAGCATTTTTCGGATTTAAGCATTGTCGAAAATTTACTTTTCGATTTTGTTGCATTGTTACATCAACGCATGATTGTACAAGCGCATGAAAACATAAATAGCAGCTAACACCATGCGATAACATAATAATACATATTTGTACATAAAATGTTTATATTATTTAAAACATTATTTTTTCATAAGCTTTTTCTTTCTATTTAATTTAACTCATTACTCGTGTGTTTGATCTTTGCCTCGATATTCACACAGGATGAACGGCAATGTCATGGCGAAAAGACAAAACACGACGAAGCGTAAATGTGCTACGATAACTAATCAATTTTATCGTCGTGAATCTAGTAATTAGTATTCGATATCCTTTTAAGTTATTATTACTCCGAACTTAAATGCACAATTCTGATATGATTTTATTTTGCAAATAAAGTAATGAATTTTCCTCTCAAATAAACCTATAAGATTAGCTTGTGTCAAAAGCATGGCGGCGTGGCCAAGTGGTTATCGCGTCGGACTAGTTATCTAAGGATTGCTGACCGCGTGGGTTCAAACCCTGTCAGGGGCAAGCTGATGTTTCCTTGAGGAAGAAACTTTACATTCATTGCTTAGTACTGGTTGGTTCCAGGAACGGATTCGAGAGTGTCTCAATAAGTTTATAGCTTCCAACACAATTGAACTTAAATAAATTTGTATAAACTAAACAAAAACATTGTAACTTTATACAAATTTATATGTACAATGTACTATACTGCTTATTATATATAAAAAGATGACCAAAAGAAGGGACCTTATTATTTGTCAATCTTCTGTTGGTACTTATTTTTCGTCCCCAACTATGACATTCTACCTCGATAGGAAAAACACACAATGTCTCGATGTTGTAAATTTGTCTTTTTACATAATACTGTTTTCCTAGAAATGTTTGCGGATACAATATTTCGCGTTTTTCACAATGTCGGCATTTTCGCGAAGACAAACCTTCGCGGATATATAGTAATCGCGAATTCCGCAAATATTAAGCGCTACGGCCTAAATTACAGTTTTTGGAGGCTACGGTATAATCCTACATGTGTTTGATGTCCAAAACATGAAAAAACTATTACAATAAAATATTCCCGGTCTCCACCATTGTATATGCGCATGCAGTATAGCCTTTTTTCCATTTATGAATGTCACATTAATGATTCAGCAATTAATGCAATTCAGCATTGGCCTTAAAATCTATACATAAGAACAAGTGTATTACTTAAAAGTAGCTTTTTTATAACGATTATCTCGTGCTACTTTAACAGTATCGGACTGTACATCGCTTTCATTATAACAACATAACAGCTGTTTATCAATGTAGCTTGTACTTTTAACAAAGGATATAACCTAATCCAAGCAAGTAAAATCCATGTGATCCAATGTACGCAAACTGTTAATGATTTTGTATACGCCGTGACTAGCGAATACCATCAATAAACATGAGAATTACCAATAATTGACAATTTTTGTAGGGTCTTTTTGTTATGTGCATTATTGGTTTTGTAATTTTGTCATTGCATATTAAACATCCGTATGCATCCGCAAGTTATGTGAGTGTATGTATTTGTGTGACGTGTGAGTTCTTGTGTCACTTGTCGATGTGTACACATTGCTGCATCCGAAATGTTATAAAACATGATTGTGAAAGTGATTTACACATTTCTATAGTACCTGTGTTTCTATGTTTTTATGTCAGTAGATTATAATAAGAATTCTGCACGTTAATATTTTGTTTGGTTGATGCTAGAAATATTTGCTGATTTGTTGAGAGTGACATATTCGAGGCTATAAAAGTTCGCGGAATCATGCCTACCGCGAAAAGCGCTAACTTAAAACGCGCGAAAACTTTTCTAGGAACACAGTATTACAATAGCATGTTTGTATGATTAATCTTTCTTTATCTTATAAGACTGAGTCCTAAGTTTCAAAGTCAATATTTTTTATTCTAACTGATGTATTATTTAAGATATGCAATATATACATCTCCTATCTAACACAACTTTAATTTTATGTTATACATAATGTTAGGTACAGACTGCTTCTATGAGAAATACCACGGTCTGAAAGAATATCCCAGTATGGTTATTGTAAGAACCAAGTTGCTTGATGTTAATTCAGAATTTCATGGATTTATTTCTGATGCTGTTGGTGAGTATCAGGCCTACTGTAACTAATTTTGATTATCTCAATCTGGTAATGTTGTTTTAAAAGTTCCCGTTACATAACGCTGTAATTGCAATACGAATTATGCCCTATTCATTACTTTAACTATTACAAAATGTACGTCTTATAATTGCATACCCTCCAAAATAGACATGTAATATTACATATTGGCATTGACTTGTCAATACGAGCATAATTTACAAATTACGGGAGGTACCAACATTTAACTTCATACATTGGGGGAAAGTGCAGTGTCTAAGAACCATACATTTGTTTTTCATCCTTTTTTTGTCATTGTCCTAAAATTGCTTAATTTATTGTTTAGAACATTATTCAGAGACTAACGTCGATGGTTTCAGACACATACAGATCCATGTCATAAAGGAAAAATGAGTAGTGACAAAGAATCATAACTTTATTGCAAACATTTAGAGTAATTGGCCTTTGTAACTGGTTTCCTTTTGGATGTGTGCCGTTCGCGCTATGTACATGAAAATACTTCGGTCGATAGATGTAGAAGTGCAGATTATTGTCATAAACATAGCTCATGTACCTTTATATCAATATAACACAAAACCGTGTTATTTTGCTTTTTCAATGTTTATTCGTTCAATAGCTTCATTTTAGATATCTTTTTAAAATGAAGTAATACATTCCACATATCAAAATAACATAATTTCTTATCTCAATACCGTCATAACAAAGCAAATTTTGGGGGCATTTTCCTAGTTCTAGTTCCATATGACTAAATTCAGAAAAATCGCTCTTCCAATTATTTTGTGAACTAATAGTGGGACTTATATTTATATCTCAAGGATCTGGAATGATGGTATACGAAAATAATCCAATTAAAAGAAATGGATATGTTACTTACGGATTTGACTTTGAGAGGTTTCGGATATGGACAGATTCTTCTGAATATGGCTGTAAGTAGACACATGTAAAATGGTTTTTGCAAAATGAAATTAACAGTTTCAGTTTTTATTTGGCAAATCGGCATATTTAACATACCTATGGCCAATTTAACAAATACAGTTTCGAATATGGCAAGACATGATACAAACATACATGTTTACAGATAAGCATATAAACATATAAACAAACAGTACATTTTTCAAAGTATAAGAAGCAGCTTCCGTTTCTAGACATTATCTTCCCTTAACTGGGAAAGCCTCAGATATGTATTTTGCGAGTTTTATCACAGCTTACCATTTACTACTACCAAGACATAATATTAACAAATTTATTTACATTGGGCTATGAAACAAGTTACCCAAATATTTTAGCTCTCAGAAATCAACATATGCAGGACAGTAATAAAAGTGATACTCTGAGTTCAATTCATTTTTGTATTACACATTTTACAGATTCGCTCGGTCTCTTTGTGAAGCCACTAAATCTCCGAATTCAAATGTCTAGGTTGTGAGAAACATTCTGAAACATGTTAAACATTTTCGAATTTATCATTTCTCTATAATGCTCAGATATCTTTCATAACCAAAACACATTTTATACTTTCTGATCTGTAATCTAATTTAGACATATTCCAATATTTGTCTCATTCCAAGATTGTATAAACTGATCTCTAATACGTTGTTTTCATAGCAGAAAAATAGATTTACATCTTGCCTAAAATTCACTAGAACATTACTGTAGCCTAAATTGTCAATCAGTTGTTTAATCTTATAGGCCTAGCAATTCACATTATTTCCATTGCTAAGATCTAAAATAAATCTATACATAGGTGAAAATCCTTATTTTTCATTATTTTTAACCAATATTTAATAGCTCTTTCTTTACAAATAACGAAAGTGGTACCTACCAGTTCACCAAAGAACAGCTAAATTAGGAGTTTGTTGTTTAACACCCAAAACAGTTTACAAAATTTTATATGTATTTTATCTACTTCAGGAAATTCATAAATACCCCATACTTCAGAGCTATAGAGAATAATTGGTACAACCAAAGAATCAAAAAGTGCAAGGCTTCATTTGATACCAAAATTTACTTTATCCAAAAAGAGACAAAAGTGAATTATAGGCTTTAAGAGCTTGATCTGACAATGCTTTAACAGACTTTTTCATGTTTCCTGTATAAGTAAATTTCACCAAGATAAGTAAAATTATCTACTACCTCAATTTCTTCTTCATAATTTTCCAAACAAAATTATTTACTTGTTCCTTCTTTCTCAAAAATACATATCTTTGTTTTATTAACACATTTATTTTAGGCCCCATTTAATAGAATATTATTCAACAATGTTACATCTAACTGAGCTTGCAAAGATCCAGGGTTAGTTGTGAATAAAGCAATATCATCAGCGAAAAAGTAAGCATATACAATATTTAACTGATTTAGGTCATATTTTCAGTGAATATATGTTAAAATCAATATTTCATTAATGTCGTTAACGAAAAAAATAAATAATAATGGCGAGAGTGGTTCCCCTTGTTTTAAACCTATAGACACGTCAAAAACTCTGAAAAATTCATAGAGCAGACACTTGTACACAAGATTTAACATTTGCATATATAGACTTAAACAATATTAACCATTTTACAGCTGACACCTTGTTTTAAAAGCTTTACCCATAAGGCATCTCTAACAACTGTGTCGTACGCTTTTTCATAGTCAATGAATGCACAATACAATTTCGATTTATTAGTCAATACTTTTTGAATGATGGAATGGAGTAAAAATATGCAGTCAGCGGTAGAATGATTATCTCTAAAACCAAATTGTGTTTCATTTAATACATGATTTTGCTCACACCATTTATTCAATCTATTTCTAAGCCAATAAAGAAAATATTTACCTATAACATTCACAAGGGTAATACCTCGGTAATTAGATTGTGTTACATCGCCTTTTTTGTGAATTGGTACAATTATACCCTTACACCAAAGCTTCTGGGTATAAACCAGAATCATAAATTTTATTAAAAATAGAAACAAGGTATGGGGAGATAAAACTATTAGAATCGATGAAAAAATCAGCTACATTCCTGTCATAATCGCAACTTTTGCCCCTATTCATAGATGTAATTGTTTTTGTAACCTCTTCAATATCAAAAGGACGATTTAATTAACATTAAATTTTTAATCTCAATTTAAATTTTGAAAGAAACGGTTAAAGCAGCATGCCTGCGGATTCATGCTAATTTTCATGAACATTTTGAAAATGTATTTAAAAGAAAAATAACTGTGAAGTGAACAAAGAAAGTAATTTACACATTGCAAACAGCACTTACAATACATGTAAATTACCAAAAAGAGGTCACAACATACATAAATACTTCTTACTGCGTTAGTAACGCAGTAGAATTATAGTGATTGATACTGCAAAATCAGCCATTACTCGATCTTAACATGTAAATAATTATTTAAATATTGAATCTTTTACTTTTCTTAAGATCGTAATACATTTTTCTAATGATTGAATGTCTTGAAATATTTTGGCTTATCTGGAGGCGTGCAGCTTTAAGTATTTCTTGTTAATTATATTCAGACTTATGTGGCTTTATGTAGATGTATAATTATGTAAATAAATTAACATTTGTATTCAAACGTTAAATATCGCCCTCAATTCCATAGGAGTCATCTCCGTATACTCTCGTGATATACAACAAAATATTTATAAATATTTATATAAGATAATTATATTCTCGACTTCTTTGGATATGATTTAAAACACACATTTAGAAATAAATAACGCATTCTCAACAACGTCGAAGTGAACAAACAAGGTATTATAGAGTGCAATGATAATATAATAGAATATGCATAAAAGACTAGACTTCATTAAAGAGAGTGGCACGATATTCTTTTAATTACAGATGTCTTCTACGGCGAAGACGGTACTAGAATAACAGGCAATTTTAGATCGGGTGAATTGGAGATTTTAGCATGGCGATCGTCTTCCCTCACGCCGACCATAAAAGAGACGATTCAGCTTGGTGTATCACCTGGTGTAGCTTTCGATAAGGACAAATCTATTCCAGATCTGTCCACAACAGAGGATATCATTGTGAATCTATGGGTAAAGTAGTTGTTAAATTTACGGTCTCTATCAGTGTATCAGTGCACATTATGAACAGGTAACATTCTCTCAGTGCCTGATTCAATATCCTCTATAAATAAGTTTTTTGTACAGTATTGTACTTTATAGTTCATTGAAATATTAGAAATTGTATGGAACACATACATGTTTCAACTGCTACTGTATCATGTTAATATACATACTCGTACTTTCATTTGAAAACAGCAGCAAAAGTCTTATTGAGTATTAATTCATTCATTAGCAGCACATTATCAATTCTAAAGAACATCAATTTTTAATGAATTTATTTAATAAATAATGGCACACCACACTCATGAAAATGAAGAATGAAATAAATGTAATTATATTTCAATCATACCAATGGATTATCTACAATATTTTTTCTTTACTTTATACTTATAAAATCGTAGAAACATAAGCACATTGTAGGCTGAAGCAACAAATGGGTCAAATGTTGGGTATCGCTTTACCGGAAGTGGTGCACTAGCATACACGACATACCCGACAACATTTCCATGTAGTTATGGAGGACTTACATACGCTTACACTAATGCAACAATTCGCATTTGGAAACCAGGCGCAGCAAACATTGGAGCTATTATATGTATCCCAAGAACATTTGGAGGAGGAATGCACACACAAGGGTCAAATCTTGCCTATGCAAAAGCACATATATGGATTCCTCGTGGTAATAATTTGATATTACTTAGATGTAGTAATTCAATTTCCATTTGCTGTTTTTATCAGCAATATTTTTTATCATTTTTGATAAGCTGCATGTTTCGAAAATGGAGCAATATATCAGTACTTGCAGTGATTACTTAATTAAAATTTATATATCAGATACAAGATGGATGTTGTTATTGTAGTTTAAAATGTGTTGTTACTTTAGTTTGAAATGTTTAGAGCTTTGATGTTCTCTTGCCCTTTACTTGTTATATTATTGCCGCCTCCGTGGTCGAGGGGTTAGAGTCGATGACTTCTAATCCAGTTACCTCTCTGGCGTAGGTTCGATCCCAGGGAGATGCTTTGGTAGTTCAGCGCGGAGGAAGGTAGTCTAGTACTGGTGTAACTCTCCAGGAAGGGTGGTTAGGAAACTACCCGCCTATATGACTGAAATACTGTTGAAAAAAGGCGTAAAATGAAACAAACAAACAAACTTGTTATATTGAAATATTGCAAGCCTGTAAATGTTTGAGTTGGCAGACATATTGTATAAATTTTAAACAAAATATTCCAACAGCTTGCCAGCGATGTTTTCTGTACATGTTTTCACTCTTGTATTTTGCAACTATAATTAAAATTAAACATCAAATGATATAAGGATATGTCGATTAATCACATTGTCATGCATGCTAATGTGTTATGACAACCCAAATGAAGTGACATTTTCAAATGAATAAACCTACTTTTTATTATCCCTCATATATAGACACAATCAATCCGAGTCTGCAATTTTCATGTAATTTTATTGTGATTAATGCTTCCGATGGATCACATAATAATAATTCATAACAGCAGGTGTCAAGTGCCGTCTAGCAACTGTAAAAGTTGCCCCGTACTTCACTTCAGTGTCTGGTCCTTCGGGTCCAAAAACGTTATGTGTTGAAAGTAAGTTTGCAATTTTCATATAATTTTGTTGTGATTTTTGCTTCCGAAGGATCACACTATTTTCAGATTTTTAATTGAAATATTGACCTCGTTCTTCAAAAAATGTATTTTTAATATTCGACAGATACGATCTGTTGTTTTTTTCCGTAATCTATCAGAGCAAAAAAAAACAAAAAAAACCCACACACTTTCATTTGTTTATGAGGGTGACTCCAGAATGTAAGTCGTATCTCGTATATCAGATCTACCAAAAAACAAATAAAGTAATTTTTTCATAATTCTAACTTCAGTATCAACACTGAATATGAATTGTAGTAAACCAGAGGATTGCTTTGACATACACTCTTTTTGCAACAACATGACTTGTATGTGTCATGAGGGGTACTATGAAACTGATTCTGCATGTGAGAAAAGTAAGTTTTGTATTTCATTCTCTTTCAAATAAAACATGTGTGATCATCACTAACAGCATATATTTCACAGACGTAATGACATTGAGTCGTGTACCAAAAGGTTATATCACAATGTAATAATGTAATACATTTAGGTCCCGCTGTAACATTGCTCTATATTCATTTTGATATAAATAACATATTTCATAAAACAAATATTTCATTCTTATTTAAGGATGATTAAAAGGTTATATATATATTTAATATAAGAACTTTCCAGTTATCAATCAATCTTCTAACGTTGCTTATCATTCATTATCTATTTGAAAGATGTCAAATCATTTATTACATAGCATATAATAAAGCAAAAAAATCAAATTTCAAATGAACAAACGAAAAGAAGTACAAATGGTTATGATAATTAGAATAAAAATACTTGCAGATCTCACATGCACCGACGCTGTTCCATTATTACCAGATCTCCAGAGAAGAGCAAGAAATTATGTGATAAATGGCAGTAGCTTCTCTGATGAATATGTTGATGACACTGGTTTAAAGTTGTCGTGGTATTTAACAAAAGATTACCAAATGCCAGATGTTTCCACTTTACCCGAAAGAAACTCTTGTGGAACAAAATATCCAGTTTATGTAAACGGTATTCACCGTTGTTTCATATGTTAGATAAAGAAATGTAAATACAATTACAATATATTAGGATATCTACCTCAAAAGAGAATGTTTAGATATTGTAAATTTTGCAATTTAGGTCAATACTTTCAGGCATAAAAACATAGAGCATTTACTCATCTTAAGCCTTAATTATATTTGCTAGGATCTCATCCATCATTAAACCAAATAGGAGAAACTCCCATTCAACTGAATGTTTGTTATGATGACTGTAAACAAACAACAACAATTATGGTCAGAAAGTGTGCCGGTACAATGCATTATCAACTGACACGAATACCCGTGAAGGAAAATGCGTACTGCTTTGGTATCATAACTGTTATAATCATACAATGAGCAAATTGTAGTACATTTATCTTTATCTTTTATGTTGAATAGTTAAATAAAAAAAGATGAAACCGGTAACGAATTAACGTTCCATTGTAAAACTGTTTCTAATTGAAAATAAAAAGGGTGATAAGAATAAAGTGACAAACCTTAAGTGCAAATTATATAAGATTTTCTTTGCAAAAGTCGAATTTAAACCATTTTTTCAATAAATTGCATTTCGTTTTTGTTAAACTGAGGAATTTGATCATTTGCACTTTTAACATTAAACAACTTGTTTTGCAACAGATCCTCCAGAATTACAAAATATCACAGGTATGTTTGTATTTTCTTTTCCTCATCATTTTCCATGTGAAGTTATTTTACAAAAGAGATTAAATCGTTCTTACATATGTTGAATCATTGGAATTCGTATGCTTGTTAAACAATGTTTAAGATGGTCGTATTTTGTTTTATTTACGTTTACAGAACCAAAGTATTCTTACAACTGTTTATTAGTTTAAGAAATAGAGAGTCTAATAAACTGAATATGCCATTGCACTGCTCATGCATGTTCGTCATTATTCCTTTCACAATAGGTGAAATTTGTACTTTTGTCAAAATTAAGTAGAAATTAATTAAAACAGCACCTTCCCTTCTATTATGTCATCTTTTCTATGTTTTCAAGTTTCTGACGCTCCAGTTGATAATAAAAGTGAACGAATATTTTCCTAATTGGCTGCTTAAAGATAACATACTTACTTGTTTCATAGTCCATTTAAAAAATGTTTGTTTCCAAAGATATAAAAACATGACAAATGGATTGACTTATTTCAATACAACTTGATTTAAATGCTAGCTTTGAAAAGAAAACGTACTCTATCTACAATCGTTTTAACTTGTAGGAATACTTATGCTACCACCAATTCTGTTTACTATTAATTCATACTTATTGTGCACTTATTCGTACTTTTTAGCAAAATAACGCTGACATCATTTTCTGGCTCAATAGATCTTATTTCATATAAAGCATATATACTAGAATAGAATATCAAAATATCCCGTATGTTTTGCTCATAATATTGAATGTAATATATTTTGCAGAATTTGAACCGGTGCCAGAGGTTGAAGACTTCACTCTGAATGTTAGCGTAGAATTACATTTCCAAATCACATATCTAAATGAGCCAAATAAACTCGTAACAAGTTATGATCCGTACTTGACCTTCAATTGTACTATCGACAGATACCTCTCAAAACAGTTATTCTATACTACGTACTGGTAATGGGTAGTTATATTTCCGTTTCAAGTAGTTTCCATATTGTTGATTACCATTTCACATTTTAATTAGAAAAAAATATATTTTGCGTTATAGCCATGTTATCAACAACACAATTCTATCAGGCCAATTATACAATTAGAATTAGCATGTTGGCTATACCATTTTTATTAAAGTAATTATTTATAATTATTTAACGTTTGCTTTATAATTTTTATGTAAATGAATAATATAAAATTAAGCTATATTCTATACGAATACGACTTTTTCAGGTACATTGGATCAAAGTTATTTATAGCTTTAGGACCATCGAACGAAGTTCAGAACCTGACAGAGCAAATGCTGAATGCCAGAAAGCAAAAGCTTAATGTTCATGTATGTAAAAGTTTTAACACAAACCTTTCGTTTTGATTCCAGTGTAAATATGACCATTGCGTATTATTTTAGTTACAAGTGCAATAAAACAACATAAACTTAACTTTGTTATGTCATCATAGAATTTTATAATATTTTATAAACAATAAAACACTTTAATTATTATCTATATAAATGTTCTGTCAGTTAGTTATCTGCTTAAGTATCAGATCATTATGTGCATAACTAGTTAAATTTTCAGTAAACAGATAATAAATAATGCGAAATACTTTGGACATATTCCTTGTTTCTGATAACTTTCTGACAAGTTAGTTGAATAAATTATATAGTTTATTGTTGGAAGAAATATGCCACCACAAGTAACATGATTTTTATAAAAAGTATCTATTAAGTAATCATAGTATTTTCTTGTCAACTAAAGATAAGCTGTGGTATAAAGATATCAAGTACAGAGACTGGCCTTATGACGAAACTGACAAAAAGTGACGAAAAGTTTTTCGGAATAAAGGTAAATATTTAAAGGTTATGGAATATGAAATTGGTATACAAGAATGTATCTTTAATAACTATTTCATAAAAGAATTTGTTTATATTCGGGATAGAGAGTTTTAAGATATAATATCAAAGCAATTGTGTGCGCTAATTCATTTCTTTCAATTTGATTTAGTTATTTAGTTTAAGATGTATTGTTCGTTTACCTATATTGCATAAAATCGGCATTGAAATTGCACACTTTTGCGCAATTTTCTCATGCCGGCGTTACGAATTTACACGGTTTTTATATTGTTTATTGATTAAATATCGTAAATTGGGCAATAACTAATAAAATTTATCAAAATTAATAAAGGTACTACCACTTGCTTCATGCATAAGAATGATACCACTTGCATCGAACAAACAAACGCTCGCATTACATCTAAATAAGCTTATGAGTAACATTTGTGACATGAACGTCGGTGGTTCTACTTATTTGCCCGCGTGTGTCTTAAGTTATAGGCACCCGAGGTCTTCCTCAACCAATACTTTGAAAGTCGCCATATGACCTCAACTTGGATGGTGCGACGCGTTTATTTTCTTCACTTATTTGTTACGCTTCTTTTTAAGGTTAAAAATCCAGTTATAAACTTAAAAAAGGGAGAAGATAGTTATGTTGAATTGGAGCCAACTGCTCCTATCGGTTGCAGATACTCAGATAGACATGGTACACCAAAAGCGTGTAATCACTCTGTTTATTTAGTTCATCCCGAAACAGAAGGATGTGACTTAAAAGATATTATAAACATACAAACAGTAAAAAGATGCGGAAGTTTTCTTAAGGTATATGATTTTTCATACCTCTGGAAAACATACTTTTCTATGTTTTAATCCTTATCATGACAGTGTTGTAAGAAAGAATGAGAGAAAATGCAGAATACAGATATATAGAATTCATTCAAGGAAACGATAGTCAATAATAATAGAATGAAGCTCGTCATGAAAGCAGAAACGACATTAAAAACAACATGCCATGTTAAAGTTTGTAATAAAAGGAAACAGAAGCATCGAAGAGTGCTAGAAAATAGTAGGTAACGAAGCTGAGGCTCTAGAAGCAGTTTAATGATGTATTATATCGTTTAGGTACTTAAGCTTGACATGCAATCACTTTCTTATAACACTATATTGGATTGGTGCAGATGTTTGCTCTCCTGTTACAGTATTAAATTTGAAATTAACAATGAATAGGAAACGACTATTTACTGCAATATGCGAACAAAATAAAACTATCACGGACACTAAATAATGGTTGTTATCAAAGGCGGTTTAATAGCATACGGAAATAGCTTGCAAAAATATGTAAGATGACAAAAGTATCACGTGATTAAATTGAATAGTTTCACATGTCGGTCAAGGGAGCAGTTGATAAGTTAAATGATTTCATTGTAATATTAAATGATTTCATTGTATTGATCAAAATGAAAAAAAAGTTATTTTTTTCTTTTGATTTTATATCTTGTTATACAACTAGAAGTCAGAACAACCAGATGTTTTTGATATTTTTAAAACAAATTATTGAAATCTACTTGCAAAAAATATTGTTCTACCTTAGACGTCAGTTATAACACGATGATAGTTTAAACTATTCCAGGCACATACTTTTAACGAAACGTGGGAAGGTGGAGTTGTAGACAAATTCCAAATTACTACGGTCGATAAAAACTTTGCTGATGGTCATCAGTTCCGTTTACCATTTCAGCTAGATGATCATTTTCATAAAATTTGGAACGAACATTTGATTGATGAAGTTATGGTAGGTTGTATGTTATTATTAAGGGGCAAGGGACCTTAAAATGAACAATTTTGTATTTCGGTGTGCCCAGAAACACAATTCCAAATATTTCAAAACCTGTTTCAAAGGCAGATAACCATTATTTCGGGACATACGACATACATTGAAGAAAATTTATAGTTTGCATGCATTGCTCCTAAAAATAATAACTGACAACAATTTATTTTTACCCCCACCTGCAAAAATCACACCTAAAATATACCAATATGGGCAATCTTCATGAAGGTGCAGCATACTCCAGAATTCGCCCAATTCCTTTAAAAACATCACCTACGCACAATGCAATCCAAGAATTTGTAACAGAGTTACCAACGTCCCCCGCCTCGGGGAAGTTTTATATGATGCATAAAATCGTGCTATTTCAAAAGACTGAGGTATGGATCTAAGGACTTTCACTCCAAAACTATGATCAATGCTAGATCTGCAAATGCAACAATAAATTTATTAAAGAAATAAAATGAAAAACTGAATTTAAAAATCTATCATGTAAAGCTTTGACCTCTAAGTGTGACCTTGACCTTGGAGGTAGGGGTGCAGTTTTTGTGCATGACATATTGTCTTATTAATATTACTATTTGTGCCAAATATTTTTAAAATCCCTTGAACTAGGAAGAAGTTATAGATCGGACACAAAATATACCCTCTAACAGACTATGTTAATCTTTGACCTCTTAGTTTGACCTTGGAGGTAGGGACCCATGTTTTGCGCCTGACATATCGTCTTATTGTGATTATTTGTGCAAAGTATTTTTAAAATCCCTTGATCTATGAAAAAGTTATGGACTGGACACAAAATATACCCTAACACACTATGTAAATCTTTGACCTCTTAGTTTGACCTTGGAGGTAGGGACCCATGTTTTGCGCCTGACATATCGTCTTATTGTGATTATTTGTGCAAAGTATTTTTAAAATCCCTTGATCTATGAAAAAGTTATGGACTGGACACAAAATATACCCTAACACACTATGTAAATCTTTGACCTCTACATGTGACCTTTGAGATAGGGACAATGTTGTTACGCATGACATATCATCTTACCATTGTGACATTTTGTGCCAAGTATTTTCAAAATCCCTTGATCTATGAAGATGTTATGGACGGGACACAAAAATACCATATAACAGACTCTAGTGTGGCCTTGACCTTGGAGGTAGGGGTGCAAGTGTTGTACTTGACATATCGTCTTATTATGTGACTATTTGTGCCAAGTAATTTCAAAATCCCTTAAACTTTGAAGAAGTTCTAGATCGGACACAATATATACCCTTTAACAGACCATGTTAATTTTTGACCTCGAAATGTGACCTTGACCTTGGATGCAGGTGTTGCGTATGTCTTATTATAGTGACGTTACTTGCCAAGTACTGTATTTTCAAAATCCTTTGATATATGAAAAAGTTATGGACCGGACACAAAATATACCCTATAACAGACTACGTTAATCTTTGACCTCCAAGTGTGACCTTGACCTTGGATGTAGGTGACCGATTGTTGTGCATGACACATCGACTCAATATTTTGAACAATTGTGTCAAGTATTTACAAAATCCCTTCAAAGATAAGAAAGTTATAGACCGGACACGACATATACCCTCAAATAGACAATGTTGACCTTGAATGAGCAAGTGTGACCTTGACCCTGGAGGTAGGGGTCTGGTTGTTGCCCATGACACATCGTCTTATTATCACAAACATTTGTGCCAAGTTATTTCAAATTCCTTTGATAAATGACAAAGTTATGGACCGGACAAGAAATATGCCCTGTAACAAGACTATGTCTCCAAGTGTGACCTTGACCTTAGATGTAGGTGACCAATTGTTGCGCCTGACACATTGTCTCAATAGTGTGAACATTTGTGGCAAGTATTTACAAAATACCTCAAAAATATAAAAGTTATGGACCGGACACGACATATACCCTCAAATAGACAATGTTGACCTTGAATGAGCAAGTGCGACATTGACCCTGGAGGTAGGGGTCTGGTTGTTGCGCATGACGCATCGTCTTTTTATAACAAACATTTGTGCCAAGTTATTTCAGATCCCCTCTATAGACAGTTATGGACTGGACACGAAAGTGTGACGAACGGACGTGCCAACAATTGTGGTCTTATGTGCTTTTACTTTGATCTTTATGTGGCATTTTCCCCCATAAACCATTAAAATCACCACATAAACCTGTCGGTTTATGGGATTTCCTTCTTTTTTTAATGAAAATTATGGACGGAATGAAGCTCATATACCATTCAATGTTCGCCCGGACAGACGGACGGAAGTTCTCACAGGACAGTAATTATGTGGCTACTCTATTGTTCTCTCTATTGTTCTTTTTAGCCACACAAAAGAAAATAGCCACATAAAAGCATAACTGAATGAATGACATCAAAGAGAAAAAACAGTTACCTAATGTCCCTCTAGCCACATAACTACTGTCCTGTGAGTGCGGACAGACGGACGGACGGAGCCTATTTCTATATCCCTCTTTTTTCTTCGAAAATGCGGGGGACAAAAATGACCTCTAAAATGTCTGTTATATGCTGAGATTTTTCACAAAATTTACCCAAAAGTTCTTACTTGTTTGGCGCCAACTGTCAAAGCTTGATTTTTAACTTTTTAACCTTCATTCAGAGAGTTACAAATACATACAAAGCTACAAAAATGCTTAGTTTCGGGTAAAAACCAAAAAAATATTGCTCATTTCCTACACACACATACAAAAAGAATTACAGTGACAGAGAAATATTAAAAGTTTCCAGTACCTTCAAAACACCATGTCTGTGTTATTAAAAAATGTGACGGGCCCATCTTTTGATATGTCCGCTGCCCCCTTTTCCAAAGTGTAAAAGGCAGCTGTGGCTTTGGTTATAATCACCGTCCGTCTTCTCGATTGTAATTGTTTCCGTCCGTCCTTTATTCCGTTCCACATTTTTAAAATAACAAAAAAAAAAAAACAAAAAAAAACAAAAAAAATAACAAAAACAAGACAATTTGAAATCTTGAAAGAATAGATTAAAATCAGTACTGTTACAATTTCATTCAAGGAGGAATATCATGTAAGTTGTGACAGAAACAGAAACTTCTTTATTGTGCTATATATTGTGGGAAATAAGGTTTACTTTGGAAATAAATTGGATTCTATTTTAGTTTACTGCGAGGTAATGTCAGTTGGAATAAATATAAGGCAAACATTATAAGCCATTTTTAAATGCTTTCAAAATCTAGTGTAAAGTCATTTTCATGTATTACAGTATTTAGACAAATTATCGCAAAACTATGCTTTATTAAAATGTGTAAATAAAAACAAATTATAGGCTGATTGACACAACATGAAATCCTTCATGGCGAAAATACATTATCTATTACAGGTTTTTGTAACTCATAATAACGATTACAAGTTCAAGCAATGTTACTCTCATGTAGATCCTCATATGCAAACGGCTGATGGATAGTAAGTAATATTGTCATTACAAAGTGAAGTAATTTATAAGAAAAAGCTGAGGGAAAGTGATTATGATTTGGCTTTTTATCCTTCTGTGTAATCGTGATATTAACATTCTGATATAGCTAATTTCCTTTCTTTTCATTATATCTTAACTCCAAAGTGTATTACTGATTACGAAGACGAAACAGAGAAAATATATATACTTATATATGTTTCAGTAAATATGAAAATCAGTATGAAGGAGAATTTGTTCTATATCGAAACTTCAAATACGGTATTGAGGTATATACTTCTATCATCTTGATTCTAATTTCTATTTTCGGACTGTTTCGGGATTTAATAATCAAAACTATCAAAACTAAAAGAATTGCTAGATAATAAAGCTATGCAATAAAGATTCAAGTATTTTTTTATGTAAATGAAACATTGCAGCATAAATCTGCTCTTAATATTGATATATATTGATATCATACCTACGATATCGTTGGTATGTAAAAATTGATATCATAGCTACAATGTCATGGTGTGGTTATTTAAAAATTGACTAAAAAGATTAGTTTTTATTATTTAGTATTTATATGTATAATGATCCCTTTGTCACCAACTTTTAAGGTCCAGGAGAAGACAACTCTTTGTAACAAAGGGAGGGCGTACTGCGCATGTGCCGTAGCTGTTCGGGCAGGAGGAGACATTTTCTTAATTAACACATGCGGTGGACTGAAGTTTATCGGATTTACGTCTTGTAATGATGGTGGCATTTTAGATATTAAAAAACGCACAAGCCTTCGATATCAGGTCAGAATATAGACAATATTTCAATACATAAAACTCCAATTTCACGTACATGTAAATGGGCTGCGCGAGAGAGGAAACGGGTTGATATCTCTACAAAAAGAGTTGTGCAAAACTCATCTTTAATGTAATTTGTTTATTGTAAAAGGAAAGGATATAATGATTGCTTTTCCTAATTCTCTAGTATCCTTACACCTTCATTCCCTTTAATTAAAAAAACTATCTTAGCTGGAACCGAGAAGCTGGGGACTAAGATATGCTACTCTCATCAAAATCACATAATCAAATTATCATTATTTATTCCAATCAGCATTTTAAATAGATTTTTTTCACTTTAAAAAGAGATCTTATGAAATAAATCTTTGTCATATTACCATTTGTTAAATAGTCATTAAAATGTGGATAAAATTAACTAGGAGGTTGCATTACTGATACAGATCACGTTTTTATCGTAAGGTATTTACTCCGATTGGAACATACATCGACATTCAGATGCGCCCACATCCTAGCTATTATGATTTGATGAATATAGATGTTTATATGGCTGCTAAAGATATAAATCAGACTGAAGGTTTATGTGGCTTTTTTGATAATAACCACAACAACGACTTACGAAAGAGGGATAGGCACAGTTTTATTCAGACAAAAAATAGTAAAAGAAACTATCATCCGGATTTCTCACAAGAGTGGAGGTAAAGTTGGTCAGATAATTTTTAAAAATAGTATGTAAACTTTAATATTGTATCTAAAAATTGTTATTCGAAACTAGTATTCAACCTGTTTTAACGCTTAAAATGACATAATTATTAATATAAAATTCCCTTGTTGAATTGTAAGGATGTAATAAGTAAATTTATGCAAACATTTCATTACTATCAAAAATGAAATAGTATATTAAAAATATAAATAAAATATCTTTTGAAATATCATCCTCTTTTGTAGACTACAACCGTTTGAACACAATTACCTAGTGCTTTCACCTGATGATGTGCAGTCATGGCAAGCAGAACAAAGGGATATGTTTTGTTATTGTAATAAGTCTCTTCACAATAACAGTGACGCTGATTCGAGCAGGGAATCTTCTGCAGTTTGCTCAGCATCTATCTATGGTAATTGCGCCCAAAGTAAATATAAACATACGCACGACTTATGTGAGAACACCAACCGAAGATTGCGTCGCTCTTTACCTGGATTCATCAGGGAACGTGAAATGAAAAGACGCCAACAACTTGTGAATAAAGGAAGGAAAAATATTTCAAAGGTTTGAAAAAGAGATTTGAAGTAATCTTTTTTTAGAATGTTTGAAGACTGTGTCTTTGTAAGACATAAATTTCTGTTCAATAATAGAGTTGTTTTTGTACAAAAATAAGTTATAGAGAGACATTAAGTACGATTTGTAAATGAATTCATATCAAGTAAAGGATTAAAGTATAACCTAAATAAAATATATCTTCAGCGAAATGCAATAAATCAGGAAAAAATAACAGAGGAATATGCAGTTCAACATTGTTCCGACATCATTACTTCTCAGAAATCAGTAAAGCAGTTCAGCCATCGTTTAAAAAGTATAGATCCACAACAACTCATAACGGACTGCACCTATGATATAATGGTTTGTCTTTAGTCTATTTATATGAAGAAATGTTGAAAGCAACTTACGTCTCCAAAATTCCTGCTTTCTTTGTATATAAAACAGATCACTTTTAATGGCCGGATTTCCAAATAAAAAGATATGAATGCATCATCAAAAATATTTCTTACAATGCTGTATTTCTTAGTCAATTTCATTTGATTTCCTGACATGCAACGACCAAAGTAATTTCTTTGTTAACCTATTTGTGTGATAACCAAAACTGAAACTTTAGGCTTAATGAAAAATGTTGTCTTGGAACAATAATTCGAGTACACTGATTACTAATTCAATTACAGGAAGACAACGATCTGAGCTGGGCTGATGTCTATCCTGGCGTACTTAACCAAGTGATTGAAGTATACAATGATCGTGACCCAGAGTATGTTAAAGCTAACAAGGAAGAAGTTGCCGAATTTACGTCCCAATCATGTCCTTTAAATTGCAGTGGTCGAGGAATTTGTTCAAGTGAAGGTAAAATTACTGCAAAACTATTTTACATGTAACAAAATATAATAAATCTATAAACTACATTATTTCGTTTTAAAAGTTGTAGATTATTTTAAGCAATATTAGTTGTTAGGACGGTAATCCCAACGACTTCTTATCTTGAATTTGTAAATTGTATGTAATAATTTTGCTTAATATACTTTATTGTTATTCAGGCGATTGCTTGTGTACAGTTGGATATCATGGATCAGATTGTGGAATCAGAGAAGACGATCTAATAGATATTGATGACATCGAGGGTGGTGGAGTATGTGATGTTATCTATGGCGACGATTGTCAATGTTTTCATATTCAAACCATAAACCTCCTTGAAGACTTCCGTTGTCAGATTTCCGAAATTTCGGTAAGATAACAAAATATGAATATGTTATCCCTTCGATTGATCAGCTTTTGTTCAGCGTATTTTACTTGTTTGTTGTCTGTCTTTGAAATATATTTTAGGTCATGGTTAATGGTTCACAAAAGCTAGTCAGTACCATGCAAAGTCCGGGAAATTATGATGATATATTCAACGGTGAATGCTGTGCACCACTGTCTAGAACAAAGCGGTCGGAGGATGCAAGTGATATTTTTGCTACTGAACTTGAATTTTCAATTAGTAACAATGGCAGAGACTTTGGTATTGCTACGAAGATATACGTTCTTGATTCGACCTGCCAGGAGCTTATCATTGTTGATAACGGAACATTCGTGGCGTTAAAGGTAAAAAGAAAGCATTAGAGATATAATATTTTACATTTTTTTTTCACAAATTAAGAACTTAATCAAAAATGCTAAAATCTTAACGCCTTTTTATTTCTTTTACAATATGCTTATCCTTAGGTCCAACAAAATATAATTGGTTGAATTTTACATTTATAAAAATGTATTCATTGAATTATATATCTGATTTGTTATTCTTTTTATAATAAAAACTGTGTACATTTAAGGTCATCCCTTTGGCATACACTTTGACATATTGATACAAACGGCCGCGCGAACCGATCAGCTAAGAATACTTTGTAGTATAACAGTTAACTGAATAAGGGACCGTGAACAGCGTATTTTCGTTTTACAGCATAGATATTTCTATGAAATGAACTCATTGTAATACTATATAGAATAGTAAAAGTAAATTGAAAACAAAACTATCAAATTGAATCGTAGTCATCTTGAATAATCAATTTCAAATCATTTATCCCACTCAGATCATGCAAATATGACAAAATGAGGTGATAATACAGTTACATAATAAATGAGACTTCCGGATCAATCAGTATCAATATAACATGATACATAAACTGTTAACTTTAATTTTGCGAGAGAGTCAATATTACAACAAATACATGTACTTCAAAAGAGTTACCAACAACAATAAATTTATATAATGAAAATTGCTTAGGCACAGACTACCTAATTACATGTAATGCTAGTTATTTATTTCAATTACTTATTAAGTTGCTGTGGTTTAATACCTATATATCACCTATTCCATACATCAAAAGGTGTCCATGCTTTAAAGCTTCTAACCAGCACATATTTGCATGAACTGTATTGAAAAACATAATCATTAAAAATTAATCGCACGTTTTGTACATGTACATTTTCATAAAAATAAATAATATTTTCTCCATCCAACAAAGACCACTGTTTAAAGACTGGGGTGATTTTGCAACTTGGTATTTTGCTAACATTTGTCTAAAATTAAAAGTACAAGCAGTGGACAATCACAATGTGGACATTAGAAAACTTAAAAACTTTTAACCTTTGATAAAAAGTTATGTATGTATTCTATACCCGGATCAAATTATGAACAAGGCCCACGTTAATAGCAATAATTTGTATTCTCGCTTTAGAAACAAATGATGTGTGTGTGCGTGTGCGTGTGTGTCTGTGTGTGTTTAATTTTAAGAAAACAACGATTTTCAGTAACTTCATTAGATATTTATATATCGATAATAATTATTATTAATAAAATGATAGTTCATTTATGTATTTTTAATTAAAGTGATGTTAAGTTGTTGTATGATCTTTATCTATGTGGATGTCATGACATTTTTTTTCCATTTGAGAATTATTAACTGCAATTCTACTTCTTATGCATTTATTATTTACAATTCATTTTTGTATGCATATTATTTTTATATAAATTCAGATAGTTTAGTTTTGTTTTATTATTTTCTGAAAGCAAAGCATATAAGTAAATATTAACTTAATCAACGGCTGTTTAGGCTTTTTTGTACAAATAATTGCTTACGTTGTGAAAATATTTTAGCGATGATTGTTAGATCTCTTTATTTTTCATTTTCTTTCATATAAAGAATAATAAATCGGACATTATAGTGTGATGTTTTTTATACTTATTTATACTTATAGTTATTGTATCATTTCCCAAATTTCATTATCCGTCTTATATTGTTTATTGTTTTAGAAATATATCCTCACCTTTTACGTTCTATTTTAAGGAACAAACTTGCTTCATTTCGGGAATCTGCAGGATCCAGAATGAAACACGGTTTGGTGCTGAATGCAGTGTTTGCCTGTCAGAGCATAACAAATTTGACTGGACAGAAAGTATGGACACATTTTATGATAATAGAGTCTTTCTATAAATGTTAATGCAAAACGATTCATTTAATTGATACAAATTTAGTGGTATATTTCTTTTTTTTCAAAATTATTATTCTAACACTATCGGAAATGTTTCTATATAGACAAAGAAGGCCCGAAGCGTGCATTATTCTGCAACAATGCACTCGCCGTTCTTATTATCCCCCTGTGTATTTTCACATTGAGGGCGTCATTTTGTTTGAAAAATCTGATAAATAAAAACAATTTTTTGTCGAATTTTGTTGTGAAAACTATCTAGAATGATAGAAAATGGTCTAACTAAGAAAATAAATCCGAACACCAATATCTTTAATTCAGTCGTTAACGCTGTACAGACGTTTAAAGTGTTGTTTACGTGACGTCACAATGTAGCGCCAAACAGCACGTGCAAAACAATCAAAATCAAGTACGCTATTTTAACGTCGCAGACGAGTTAAGTTTTACATTTATTTCACTTTTAATAATTTGTATTTCGCTTGGAAAATTATAGAATGAAATAAAAATAAACAACAAAGTTTTATCAACGTTTTCAAAATTCGTTATTCTCAAAATGTTTCTACACACGGTAGATTTAACGACAGTTTTTTTCAACCCACTGGAACGGCCTTTAAAGAACGTTTCTATTGGAAACTCTGAGGCGAAAACAAATTTAACCGCCAAACATAAAGTCCAACTTTATAATAATAATTATATTTTTTCTTGACGTGTTAGAATGGAAATAGATATTAATTCTTCGTGCATTATTGTACAATAATGCACGTTTTTTGTTCAAATGCTTTGTAATTAATCACTCAGGCCTATCGGCCTTCGTGATTATATTACTACGCATTTGAACTCAAACCGTGCATTATTCTACAACAATGCACTCAGAATTGATATCTATTTCCTAATCACACAATTTAAGCAATTGCTATAAGACATTTTGTTTTTTTAAGATTCAGCACAGGGCGTCTTTATTATTTCAGTAGTTTCATTGCACGACTTATATATCATGTTATGTAACTTGTACTTATTTATTAAAACAAATACAAAGATGTTTATAAGTTCAATATCGGGAGGTTTTACAGTAATTTTATTAAAATTGGTTATCAAGGCCTTCGCATGCAATTAAGATATATAATACATCAAACAACTTCTTTTCAGCTTGTGAGGCCCCACGCAAGTTTGAAGGGCTGACTTTACAGTTTATTCTTGGTCTCTGTGGCGGATTATCTGTTGCCTTAGTGTGCATCATTTTGTTCTGCATTTTGAAAAATTATCGAGGAAAATATAAAATGTAATGAACTTAAAACAACTTTATCAATTGTTTTCTATATAGCTTAAATGTTTTATATAACAATTTGTATGCATTTTAAAAATACGTTTGCATATTACTATTCTGTGATACGTTGCCATTCAAAATATTTGAAAAGAGTTGAAAACTATCGAATGGTTTTGGAAAATTGGGAAATTTCTACTTGCCATTCCTTGATAAGTCAGTATATATATAAGGGTTGGTTCAACTTGTAAATGTACGTTATATATAAAAAATGACAATTTGGCTTCTTTCAATTTATTATCTGGGAAGATCGGCATTCAAAATATTGATTTTATTATTTTTTACACTTTTTTCCAGCTCTGTTGCAGAATACATCATATATAAAACAGAGCCACCGAAGGAAATGGATTATAGATATCCCCGCCCAAATCTGAACATTTTTAGAGCGAAGAATTCAGAAGGAAACTAGACTTTGAAAATTGTTCATGCGTTTGGACAATTCATTCCTGTAAATGTTACTTTAAACATTATAGCATTCTTATGTGTGGTCTCTCAAATTGGATTCTATAATCAGCAAATAGAGGAAAACATTTTTAGCTGATAGATTGACGCATTTTTAAAATCACCATCAAACAATTGTCTTTTTCTTTCAAGCTTCATTGTCTATCAACAACGACTTGTTGGATGTCATTCCGATAAAAGCTTTCAACGTTGAAGTATTAAATACCATTTAAACTTATTCTGTTTTTTTAAAGAATGTCGAAAGTTTACCACGTGACTGCCTGAAAAATATCTACTGTGCCAATTCGACTAGTGTGAAAAACAAAACAGCAAAATAGCAAACAAATAATGCCAACATTTTTTGTAAATATGTATCTTCACAAATTTTATACATTTTGTAAATGTTTGTCACTGTCTTGTATTCAGAATATTGAAATACAGTCATCTTAAAATTGAATACCTTTTATTTTGATTACAAAACTTAAATCAATTTTTTGTTTATTTATTGTTTCTAATTATTGGGACTTTCGTGAGTAAATTTTAAGATAAATGTAGAAAAGGGTATTTAAACCATATTTGCTTTGTAAAATAAGTATATAAATCGTTTGATACAGAAAAAATATATCTGCAGGATCGGTCTGCAGTTCGAATATGTATAATGTTGACCTTTAACTAAATAACAATTTAACACCCGTTTTTTATTCCCTGAAAGGTGCAATGTACGTTCTAGTCAATTTGCACATGTAAGAACAAATTCATTTCAAAGAAATCTTTAAATAATTAATTACCACGAACAATTAACATCGTGCTCTTTCATGTGAACATTTTTACATCTTTGAAGATCCTTGTTATAATGTCCTTTTGACAGTTGTAATTTCACAGTGTTTTTCGTGAAACATATTGCTTTTAAAAAAACGAGACTGCGAACATTTATTGTATAATTATACAAAGTAATCATTTTCACATCTGACTACATTAACAGGATATGCTTTTTTTCAGATTGATTTTTTACGCAATTGACCATAACTTCATAAAACTAATATTTTCAAAATTGTCACAAATTTGATTTTATCTAAGGCATATTCAGCCATAAAGCTTAAATGGTGCAAAGTGATCTATGTAATAAAAAGATCATAGAAACACGAGGATTTCTGATTTGTAAAAGGTGGCGTAGCTTCCGAGTATAAATTAGATTGCCGAGAGTTTTGATGGTCTTTCTCTAGTGTAACATAGACAAAAATAGAATCACGTTCCCAGTCATCACAATATGAAACCTCTCAAAATGAAACAAATGAACGAGCATCTAAATATGATTTTTCTATTGTTATCCCTTTCCCTATAATCATAATAAGTAATCCCCCAGAAGCAATAAGCCAATCAATGCGCATACTCTTGAGTGCGGATAACTAATACGTGCACTCGAGTTAACGCACTGTGCATGTGTGGGTATATGATTTAACTCTGAAACATTTTCAAGAGAAAGGTCTCCGAACTATGATACATATTTATTGACCTTCAGAGCAAGTGTTTTGCTATATTGTACTGTTAACTCCGTTTAATGACATTGCGACATAGGAAATCGAGAACGGAACCGCAGATTGCGGCTCATATTTTCGATCGTGTAACGGTTTTTAAAAACGTTTCTTCTACATCTAAATATCTTTTAGTATTATCCGAGTATATGGCCTCAAAAAATATTATCACTTGAACCCAATCTGTATCCATTAAAACAGGTCAAATTTTACGGTATTATAAAAAAAGGACAAGGAGTGACATCCGCCATTCGCCGCAACGTTTTCGGCATGAGTTTTTCCCCTTTGGCTACAATTGATTACTATTTTTTTTCAGAATTTTGTTCCCGTTATTTTTGTCAACTATTAGGTATCGTCCGGATATAACGTTAACGGTTTAATGTTTACACGTGTTGACATGTATAGGCGGCATTATAACGGGCGTATTCGTGTTTTGATTTGTTAACATGGAGAAAACAGACACTTTAGAAATATGGTCCAACTGATTTTGCCTAACTAAAAAAGGAATATTAAAACATGATCCATAGATAAATATTTTAGGCACTCATCTGGTATTCATTACTAGAAAAATTAAAACAAAAATCAAGCATATCAAGGGGGATAACTTACGCCGAACGTCGCGGTAAATGGCGGATGTCACTCCTTTTCTTTTTTCAATATACCGTAAATTTGACTGATTTTTAAATTAGCAGATTATATTAAATTGAGATAAGATAATTAAAGACCACCCGTTCGCATAATATGAAAAGATATTCAAAGGTCGGACAAACAAAATGTAAAGCCGGTACGGATTCGGATTTATGCGCCGCAATATGAGTTCCTATGATTGCGACTCATTGATTGATTTAATGATGATTTTATTTAACAAAAGAAAGGCTTCAAAGTTAGTATAACAATCTTATTTCATCAGATGTTTTGTGATTATTTGTTGATTTTTGTTTGTTTGTTTCATTTTACGCCTTTTTCGTCATATATATCGTTCCTGGAGAGTTACACCAGTATTAGACTATCTTCCTTCGTGCTAAACTACCAAAGCATCTCCCGGGGATCAAACTAACGTCAGAGAGGTAACTGGATTAGAAGTCATCGACTCTAACCTCTCGACCACGGAGGCGGTGATTATTTGTTGAAGCTCAACCAGTAGTAATGTGGAGTTGTTGATAACACTTCCCAGGTTGATTATCATTTGTATACATGTTTAATTGTTCATATCTATTAACAGATTTGACCGCAGTTTGCTCTTCATTAATTGAAGCTCGGACATCATCTGCAAGTGTCTCAATTTCTGATAGTTGCATAGAACGTGGCTTATCATTGGATTGCTGTTTGACGTCACTATGACGTCGCAATCTGGAAAACACCATAACTATAAATTAGTTTGAAATATTAGTCTGAAATACTCAGAGCAGTGTTATAAAGTTTGTTATACCTGAAGTTAGCCAAGATCATCTTTCCTGTTTCCGCGTCATGACATATATTGTGTTGGTTCGCCGTAAAACCAAACCAAACAAACATACTGTGAGAAAATTGTCCGGATACAGTTAATCATTGATGATAAAAATCCAAATATGTGATAAATAAAAAAGTAAGACGAACACAAACGAAATAACTAAATAATCATTCATCTATAATACTACTTTTTGCACAATACGCGTTTTAAAATGAAACAATTCAACTAGTAAAGTATTGCATTTATTTAAAAAAACTTCAATAAATTTTACGAATAAGAACGCCTAGCACTATATTATGTCCGAAATGTATCTGGAAATGAAATCTGAAGATATGTTTATTAAAAAATGTTTTTCTTTTTTTCTTAGCAAATTAGCAATAAAGTCTGACCGGTGTTGTTGTAAAAGTATACCGTGTTATTTAAATACATCTTACCTTGTAGTATAAACGAGAAGATATGCTATGATCACCAGCAGTATGACACAAATCATACTTGGTACAAAAGTGGCTAGATATGAAAAAATGTTTTATAAAAATGTTGTGTTATCTATTACACACTAAAACAAATCAGATTATGATATTTTTGTCATAAATTTGCCTGAGTATCCCTTTAAGCAACAACGAAGACTGCTCCTAATAAATGTTTTATGTACAATGAATGTAGTATTTAATGTTGAATTTAAATATTTCTTAATTAACTCTGCTAAGTCGAAAATACATTATATGAAAAACATAATTGATTAAATCTATCACTTTTATATAGCATGGGGTTCTATGGTACCACCGAAGTGAATATATTTACATTTATCCTTAAAAAAGAGAAATGATAATGAGAGAAACGATCGCTCTTTTCTTAAACAAGTTACACATTTGTGTGTACCATATGGTCAACAGGTATTACTGTAATATTTCCGATATAATAAGAAGGGATGAGGTCTAGAATTAGAAAAATTATAATTGTCAATACATCAATAAATACTTTTTTATAGCTATGTCTCCGTATTCTGTGTCTATTGACGCTTGCATTGTAGAATAGGTTGGTTTTAAAGTGGTATAATCTTTTGTTTGATTCCATTGCGAAGAAGTTGCTTGGCTTGTCTGTTTATGTACCTCTGGTATTGGTCTCGAACAAGAAATGTTGAAGTTTGATCTATCAGCTACATACATTTATAATTAAATGATATATTAAATGACCAAAAAATTCACTAATATAAATTTGCTTCAATCTTCAATTTTTTATTTTATTAATCATTAGTAGAATTTAATAACAACTTTTACACTGACTGTAACAATTATGTAAAGGACCTATAAGTAAAATATTTTCAAAATACGTCTTTCAAAATAATTGTTATCATATCAATTTTAAATAATCAAAGGATAATATTTCACTATTTGTTAACAGAAATACAGAATTTCAAAGAAAATTAAACGTAGTTGAAATTTGAGTTTCAGCTCACTTTGAAGTATAAAGAATGTCTGATAATTTATGGCTTTTGATTTGGTTTTTTAATTGTTGTTATCAATAGCATTAAACCAGTTTATGAAATACTGTCATTTATGCATTGTCCAAAAATGAAAGGGGCATCCATGGCCAGTGGCTAAGGTCGTTGACTGCAAATCATTGGCCCTTGGTCACTTTGGGTTCAAATTCTGCCAGGGACTTTGGATTCGTTCATTAGAGGAAGCTATTTAGCTAAGCCAACCCCCCCCCCCAAAAAAAAAGTAAATAGACATACAAAAACATACTTGTAAAAACAAATAGGCAAACTCTATCTCTATCATAATTTTCTAGAGTAGAAAATAGAAGCTCCGAAGGCCCTGTTAATCTTGTTTTACCAAGGGTGTTGAATTTGCCTACGTTAATGTTATTAATTTGAAATTGTAGACTATTTCTTCGTTTGGTCAAATTAAGCAAAATTAGCTGAAGTTTAGAACTTTGAGTGGTGGGCGTTATAACACATTTGCACGACGTTTGCTGGTAGATTGTGCGTTGCTTGGTATCAATGTAGATTTGATTTGTATTTGTTACATTCTGGTCAGTGCAGACGTATGTAACTGTAAGAAAACAGAAATGTGGACAGTTTTGCATTGTTCTTAACAGAAAGTTTCCAAACTAAGATTAAAGTTTTAATTCATTAGGCAAAATGTAATACATGTAATAATAATAATATTAACAAAATAGGAAACCCGACGAACAATAAATGTTTTGCAAAATGAATTGCGGTTGTTTACAGATAAAATAAAATTTGTCTGATGATAAGTGCTTATGCAAAACCATCATTGCAGAATAAAAGAATAAAAAATATATATTTATTAGGTTTTGTATCGAAACATAAATAGTTGCCGGCTCGGGCAAGAAAAACAAAACCTTACACTAGGATATATTAACATGTATTTAATAGTGAATAAAGGTAGTAGTATTGTACTATGAAAGCAACTTAAAATAAGACAATATAGGTATACTATGAAACAAAATCTTATAATACATACATGGTGCAGGCTTGAACTCGCAGAAAGATTGACCTTGTGATTCTGAAAATATCAAGGTCAAAACAATTGAAATTGCTCAACGAATTGTACTTTACACTACATATGGATATCAAAATTCGGTATCAGCATCGGTAAAAAACAAATGTAAAGGCAAAGAAAGTCATTTGCAAGGTAGGTTTTCCATTTTGTTAACATTTTTTATGAAATTCAAATCTTTTTTTTTTATAATATCGAATTGTAATTCACCCTTTCCTCTTAACGTACTTTTTTGTATTGGACTTTCATGCAGTCTTTGTGGAGATATTCCTCTGGCGAGTGTTCTGGTGTGTCCAAAACGTGCAATGCGTATGAAGAAAATAAAACGAAGAAAATGTCACTAATCGGACTCTAAATGTAAAGTCTTCACAAAATCGAACTGCAAAACTATACTTAAAATCAAACAAATCCTTCTTTAAACATTAGGCTCAAAACGAAAGAATCAGCGGTCAAATTTCGATCTTCATATGTGCTAAAGAGAACCACAGGTGATCTTCAAAATCACGGGTGAGTTGAACCCCGTATTGATTTCAATATTGAGCATGGGTAAAAAACATGATTGTACGACTTTCCACTGATCCAGATGTGCAACCTTATACTCTAATATTTCGTATTTTAAGTCCGTTAGGTGACATTTTCTTCATATGTATTGCATGTTTTGAATGCACCATAATGCTTAAGAATATTATCATTATTGATTATTACTTTTTAACTGTTAATATATTACAAATGACTAGATGTTCTTGTTGAGACAGATTCATGTTTTAGTTGTACTTGCTCAATTAAAGTGTCCTTTGCATTATGTAAAATTATGATTTCGTCAAATCAACACATGTTTAGGATCAACAAAATTAATATTAATTTATTTATTTATATCGTTTCAAAGTTAGGTATTGTCTTGGAAAATAGATATTTTGGTTATGTCAAAGTTACTGTAAAACTCAATGTTTATTACGGCCAAGACAAAGCATAGTAAACATATACATTTGATAGAGTAATCTATATACTGGCAATGTATGAAAAGAAATTCGCAATGCACATCGATTATATATGATGCTGTAAGTTTGCGACGTAGATTCTCATTTTTCAAGTAAGACATTTACATTAATTTACATAAATAAATTCTGTTGCAATTTTATAAATACAATATAAATTGTATTTGGATTTTATAGAACTATTCTACACACAGTGTAATAAATTCGTAATAAATACTCCTTAAAAGTTATATTGTAAGGTTAACACGGTTGTGTTCTTTTATTGCAAGTGTTAACTGTCAAAAATCTTAACTAATAAAAAGACAGTCGTTGGGATTTATATTATTTTCTGTCACCTGAAATTTGATATCTTGTTAAATCAATCATTTGAAATTAATAGGACATACATGCAAACAAGAACTACTTGTGGACAATGAACTCTTGAACTATATCCTACAATTTCAGATGCCTATATTTCCCACAATACGAACATTAAACGAAGTTTTAACGTAAAACAAAACCTTTATTGTCATACTAAGAAATATCGTATTTGTTTTTTGCGGTACATTCGTTTAAATCGGATGAATTTTCACCCGTTTTAAATTGGAATAATCCAAAATGTTGTCGCAGTCTCCTTTAAACAGTGATATCGACATTTCTATTGTACCATAATACAGCGAGTGTATGCCTGTCGATATTACTCGATTCTCAAGCCATGATTTCTTGTATCACATTGCCTTATCATGGATATTTTTTTTAATTTTACATGACACTATATTATGAATTATACATGCATTTACACACGAAAGTTACATACAAAAAACTTAGAATTTGGATTAGACTTACCTTGTGGAATCAATAAAACAAGACACATCAATAAATTAAATAAATACATTTTCAAAAATCTGGGTTTTTTACATCCGAATGACTGGTCGTAATAAGAGTAATGTTCAAGTATATGTTTTGAATAAAAAAAGAACCGTTTTTCCGACTTGTTAAATTTTCCATCCAAAATGAAAGTACACATGTATAAACGGATGTATTCGTATGGAGTATTTTCATTGGTTGTGTGAAAACCTTAGACCAATGAAAATACTCCGTACAAAAAATTAAAGAGGAGAGCACGCTGCAGAACAATTACTTGCATTTAGATTTGGAATTTGACACATCGGAAAACGGTTTGTTATAGTTTTATATGATGTTTTGATTGAACAGTTATTACAAATAATAATATAATTTGATCATATTTATATGCGCAATACAAAAAAATATTCATTCATTTCGAATAAACTGCCGTTTAGTCGGGTAATTTTGACAAAAACCCAGCGGTCAGGTCTCTGTCGAGTTACACTTGCGGTGAGTTCGAGATTACATATCTTCTTAAAACTTGAAATGATTGCAATGACAGCTTAAATTCTTTTAAGAGTAATCAATTACCTACCATTTGGTACCAAGATATTGAAAATTGGTGAAAAAATGTTGGAGTTGTGGAGTTCATATTAAGATGAGTGCTGAAAAATGAGCGGCGAGTTGCATACCTTTACTTAGTTTATGTATATATTTTTTTAAGTTTTTGTGGGAGATGAAGGTAATTGAATTAAAAGCATATACCAAATATTAAAGCATGTTTAAAATGAAAAATACTGCAGTTTACATGGTTTTGAGAGGTAGAAGAGTTGTAGAGTGGGTGAGGAGGGGGGAGTTGGCCCGGGGGGGGGGGGTAGTGACCAATCAACGCGCCGATCACCTATGGTCTGAAAGAAGGCACTTTCAGAGTAGTTATTTGCACTAACTTTTTAAATTTCCAGTCTTGTACATGTAAACAAATGCATTATCGGATATACTTGAATATCCCGGTCATGAATGCTATCCAAGCCACACACCGACTGGCTGTGATGTGACTTGCAAAATGATTTATGTGACTACATATAATTCAACTCGAAATAACCTTTAAGTAAGTATAAACTATAATTGCTACATGGAACGTTTGTTAACTTGATTTTAGGGTCCGGATTGAAGTGGAGATTAATTATGGAAACAAACAGAATATGTCGCCATTGAATTTTTTTGTATTTTTTATAACGCACTCCTTTGCTAATTAAGGTAATTCAGGTAATGAATATTTTATATGTGCTGTAGTAATAATCATAAGGCAAGCAAAAAATTAATAGAATTATAATTGTTGACCTAATGAACCTTCATACATGCTTACAATTTAAAATTTCTAACAAAATAAATGTAATAAGACCTAAACTCATAATTTTTTCTTTAAAACAAAATAAATACCAATATTTAAGACCATATTTACTGTTCTCAATGAAACTAACATGGCGACGGCTAAAACGGGAATATGTATAGAACAGCGATTGGAAATTGTTCACCATACAGATAGCCTCTGTTTAATTCGTTCGAAGTAAAGGTCATCGTATATCATTGATTTGTACAATCAAAATTGCGAAAATGTTTGAAAAACTAATTTAATTAAAACTGAAAAGAGTGTTTAGTTACTGTTTACCACTTTATATGTTCAGAACTGTAAAGAAAAGAATATCTTGTATTTATCCTCAAACAGCAAACAGAGCTGTTTTCTTCGGTGTTTGTTTTTAATATACTGCATTTGAGCTGGGACTAAAAATGTGTCTTTCGGTCCCAGATTTGAGAGATCGCAGTGTCTCATAATTTAATACGTTGCATTTGACAATATTTTCTAGAGACAAATTCAATCAAGACAATAAAATTTAACGAAATATTTATTTGAACATGATAATATTGCATATAAATAATGATAATAGTGAAATGAAAGACATCAAATAAATTTGGCACCATCACTTAATTTAAGTAAGGGGTCATCTTTTATCTGAAATTCTTGACACCTAGTAGGAATCACCTGTAATATATAAAACATATGACACATATAATACCAGTGACAAAATATCATTTTTTATAAATCATTTTTACCGTATTTAACATTACCACGAGATGTCCTCTGAATATTATAAGTTAAATGTATTACATTGTTAAATTTTGAATGATATACCTTTAAGGCAATACATGTACATAAAATCTGCTGTGCATATCAAGACGTTTATTCTAAAGGTTCATTCTGCTAAAAAATAATCTTTAATTTCTATTTCTCTAAATCAACTTTTTTTTTATTTTAATCACCTATTGGCCAATTACCAGAACAATCTGGGTTTTTTTGTTTGTTTGTTTTTTTTTAATGTTTTTTTCCTGATTGTTTTTGTTGTTGTTTCTTTTTAAAGTTAGTACAATCATATTTATTTAGTATTTTGCGTAGAAGTCAAACTACTGCCTCGTTTAAATATTGCTGATTTTGTGACATCCAATTTCACTTGCAGCGCTACTTTAAGAAACAACTAATATGTACTAAAACAATTATAATCTAAAGGTTATGAAGATTATATTTTCCCTTTTTTTAGAATGGAAAAAAAATCTTAAGTCTCAACAAATCTTTGCTGATATATAAATATAATATACTTACGAATTATTGATCTTCTTGGAATATGTCTTGAGACACTTGGTCTATAATCTCGATCTCCCATTCTTCTAAATAAACCATCTCCTCTTGTTAAATGTCCAGATCCTAATCTATCAAACTGGCGTCCAGATCCTAATCTATGTCCTGTTTCAAAATGGCGTCCCGATCCAATATGGCGTCCTGAATCAAATTCCCCACCTGATCTAAACTGCCGACCTGAGTCCCTAAAACGTCCTGATTCCAAATGGCGTCCGGAACCACTAAAGCGATCAAACATGTCGTTGTCAAATCTCTGTCTCTCCCTCCTGTATGACTGAGCGTAAACACAGCATAACACCGATAAGGCGCCAATAATTACAAGAGTGTTCATGTTTTACCTGAAATTTGAAGCAAGTATGTTTAACGGTTAATTTTGAAACTTTGAGGAAATGTGATAAATGTTTAGAAAATATAACCGAAATCAACTGAAAATGATATTTTCTATGAATCTGCATATTACCTGATTGATTTAATTTTCCTTAATATTAAGTTCCGAATAATAAACCTAAAGCAGAACATTACTCATTACAAACAATATCAGAGTGTCCGCAGCATTTATATATGCATCTATATACAGAAAAGAGCTTACCTTGTATTTGTATGCTTCAAAGATGCACTATTATGTAAGTCTGGTATCTAGATAGCTTTTCATATCATTTATATACCATTCAGAAGTTGGAACTATAGCTATAAACCTGAGGTCAATGACGACAAGTCGGTAATCTTTGACGTAGCTAATGTTAATTAACCGATTCATCTTCATTTGACGATTTGCTTCCTCCTCCACGTCACGATTTAACATATGGATTTCAACAAATACTATTAACATATATTTTTTAATCTATTAATCTCAAAGAACAATCTTATGACAGTGTAGACAATCAAAACAACATTAACGGCTTAACATTTAGAATTATTAACTACGTCTCGATTACATTGTGGTGATGATTAAATAATTCAATAATTACTTTTGATCTGGATCAAATTTTCTTATAAACTGCAATTCTTGAATACTTCAGTAACAGATTTTATACTTAGTTACGCCCGTGTTTAATGGGTAATATGCTTTAAAACGAAACAATTCCGGAAAAGATAAATTAAATTGGCCTAAGGATCTATTAGATCTGCAATATTTCAGATCATTTACTAAAATGTGTAACAAAAATAATCATGTACATAAAATCTCATACAAGCTAGAAAATCAAGGTATGTATGAACATACTACTTGATCTCTTTTCAAATACTCTTATTGTAACCTCCGCCATCGTGTTAAAGGCGACAAACATGCATTTGCTCATATGCTGAAAAATAAATTGAAATTAAAAATGTCTCCGAAAAAAATAATGCACCATTTCGTGAATTGTTGTTAATTTGATACAATCATATTTATTCAGAGTGATTCTACTGCGTCTTTTTTAAATTTATATAAAACAGCCGGTTTTATTTTTTTATTTATTTTCTTATGAATTCCTAGATGTTTTACTAAAGGTTATTGATAGATTATTTTAAAATTAAGATATCAAATATTTTGAACAAAGTTTTCTATTTCTTTAAAAGTATTATTGTTTACAGATTACTTTTATATACAATAAATGGATGCAATGATTTTCTTCGAGTTTTCTTTTAAGTTTGAAATCTGTAAATATTTCATCAATTGTCTGGATGAAGAATAGAAAAATACTTAAAGTTTAGCTCTTAATTTGTAAATATTTAAAAAGGGGATCAACTTCATACTACAAGGTTTTTCAATTTACAGCGGGGGCTCGTTTTTTCAATATCAAACAGAAGACTTTCTAACTTTATGCTGTAAATATGTGTGACTACTATAAAAGCATTGATTTTCATAACATTTATGTAACCCCCTTGAAAGGGCAAAATATTGAATCATATGCTAATAAAATTAAGTTAAAAAATGTATCAAAAAACACAAAATCCGTGATTTTTTTAATAGGAAGGAAATTATAAAAATTATATTCCTTATAACCATGTTGATATTGATAATTAAAAACTACGAAATTTTTGGAACAAATTTTTTTCTTTTTAAAAAGTATTATGCTTACAAATAACTTTTTACTAAAACGCAAATGATTTTCTTAAGCTTTTTTTAAATTTGAAATAATTTTAACCTGATTAATCTTAAATGTTAGCTCCTTATTTGAAATATTTAAACTACAACTTCAACTCCGTTTTACTGCGTTTTCAGCTCTGCGTACTATATAATTGACTTTCCCTTCATTTCAATTTTATAAAATAATTTAATATTTCATAAATTTAAAAACTGAGTACGAAAATTTCAAACATAATTAAGTTTTCAGTATCAATAATAAGATAAATTTAAAAAGAACAAGGCACATTACAAATTACATATGTTGAAAAGATAAGATGGGAAAATTTCCATTTCTAACAAGCGTTGATTGATCTTAATAGTAGCTCTTTTAACACTTAGAAACATAAATAGACCTGATTTTAAATGTAAACAACAGATAATTACATTTGTGCGGTGAAAGCATTTGAAATCCGTTTAAATTACCTTTGCCTACACCTACATCATCATAATCAAATTTCCTTCAATTTGATTTTACAAAATTGTCGTCTTTTTATCTTTTGCCAATCTTATAGCTAACAAAGTTTTAAGGAGTTCCATGTGTAGCTTGATTAACATTTTTATTGAAGTCATCATACATGTATATGCAAATTATGCTTAAAATTCTGTTGATAACATGAAGGTAAGTGAATATTGGCAACGTTTTACAATTACAATTACGGACGTTTATTATCCGTCTGCCATGTTTTGTCTAATGCCGAACATAGATAAGTATTATCCTAACAACAACGGATGATATAGCCGCTCTCTTTACTGTATCCGTTAGCTTTTTGTTTGGATAAGGTCACCATCATATCATGCTGAAAAAGTGATTTCTGCATAAAACGGTGCTAAGGCACTTTAGCGGTAACTATTACTTAACATCTGAAAAAGGTGTGATCCCTCAAAAGCATAAATCACAACAAACTTACTTAAAAATTGCAGACTCGGGTCTGTACATCAGGGATTATGGAAAAGTGCAACATCCCTCATACCTCCTAACACCGGCATGAGCGGTACTCAATTTTTTAACACTGAGAAGTGATGGAATCAATGATCTCGAAAGACCAGAAAATGTAACAATAATACTACCGTCCAGAACCCGGCCCTATGAAAGCAAGCCTACAGTATTTTGCCAGTTTGATGTTTTAAGACATTCTAATTTTGTTTCTAATAAATTTTCACATTGATCAGAGGAGTTGTTATTGCTGCGTGGAGGCAGTACAAAGTTGCCCAGTACATTCAGTAAGAGATGTTATAGTCATGGACCTTGAAGGTCGTACAGCACGATGTTTCGTTGTGTTTTTGTTTTCTTGTCCAATCTATTTAATATTCATGTTACTATTATATTACCCTCTTAATATGTTGCCTGATACATTTGTCTTTGAACGTCTGTCTGTGATATGCAAACCCCTTATTTCCTTGTACTACAAAAGTAAATTATATAATTTTTAAGGATGTACTCCACTAATATTTTAAATGTTGACAAATGTTGCTTAAGCTTCATTCTAATCCTGTTTTTTTAAAGAATATTTGAATTACTATGTGTTTATTGTAAATTGTAACATGTATGTATATTCCGAGAAATAAAATATGTTTACAGTAAACTTAATTGAGTCTGCAACAGTTCAGAAATAAGCCGTTTGTTCGTTCTTTGGGGATTACGATTTTTCTTCACGTGATGTCATATAATTGAAAAAAAAAATCATGTAAATATCCTTTTGGCAATAGTCAACCTATTATTGTAACCTAATACTTTAAACAATAAAATAGAGAAAAAAACAGAATCCGTAAAGAAAGCCCAACACGGGAAAAATGTTGCAGGCTCGGTTTGATTGAGTCTGTTCATGGACGGTACTGGAAAGTGCAAGTTACCGTCCACGCCCCCTAGCACCGGCTTAAGCATAATTCAACATTTAAACACGAAAATGGCGAAATGAATTTTGAAACATCCGCAGGTGTGTTCATACGGCGGTTATTATGGAACCTTCAATGTGACACAGTAGTGCCATTCCATGAAAAGCGGCGTATGGTCCCCAATTTAAAAAAATACACGTGCGCCCTTAAAGAGAAAACAATGGGCGGAACTAAATAAAATGGAATTTTGAAAGGGGATCTGAGGTTATGAAGCCTGCATATCACAGATAAGACGCCAAAAGACAATTAAAAGCAGGCAACATATCCTAAGGGCGATTAGACAGTATTCAAGTAGCCATTTTGTCATTCCGACTATGTTGCCTTGTCAAATAATTTGCTTTTCCTCAGTATGCATTTCAAAAGCCATATTTAAACAACATGTCAACAACATGTTATTCTGGTACTATTTTAAAATTCATACATACTAGAAAGACATTTAAATCCAGAATATTCATAATATCCTATCAATCCTTTCTGGCCGTCTGAAGCTGCGCTACAATTTTTGTAGTGTTAAACCTAACTGATAATTAAACTAATCATAGCTACCAATATGTAGCGTAGATTTGCCGGTTTCTTTCAAACAGATACACGCAGAGAACAAAACATTGATTTCAAATATATTATATGTCCGTTTAACTCAACTGTTTTAAAATAGTACAAAACCTCGAATAGAAAAACATGCACTAAATGATCCAACATCATCTGTAAAAAAATTATAGATTACTAAATGACATATTTCTTAAGTATGTTAAGATATAAGTAAATGTTATATGTAAGTCATTTTAAAAACAAAAAAGTACACTTATACGATTTGAATTTCATCCAATGCCAGTGACAAAATGTGTGAACAATGTTCAGTTATGGCTACGGTCTCTGGAAATAATATCATATCACTTTTGAGTTATTCGTATAATGGAAACAAAAGAGAACGCTAAAAGGTAATATAGAAAATGTTCAGTTTGATTGGGCCTGCTCTAAGATGTAATCTACCATCAGCACCAGCTGAAGCAGAACTCATGTTCAATGTCAAAATTCATTCTTGACAGCAGACCAGAACAAAACTTAATAAAACGTAGTCAAATTTTGTTTTCTGTGATTTTAAAACACATGTTGTACATATTTCAGAAGAGAAAATATAGAAGGTTTTTATAAATAAAATTCATCTATACACGATTACATTTGCAATCATTATGGCTAATTATCATATTTGAAAATTCCCTTGAAGAACTGTTTCTTTAACTAGCTTCGGTAATTTTCCAAATCGATATCAATATAAAAGATTGATTAAGTTTTTCTGCTTTGCAACAAATCATTAAGAGACTTATGCAGTAAAACAAAAAGTTACGAAAATCTTAAGTCCATTCTTAATGTTTTGAGCCATTTGAATAATATAACTAATTTATGGATTTGTGGAAGTAAAAGATAAATTTTCCCTGACCTCTCGTATGTAACAACTTGAAATTAAATCTCTTAATAAAAAGACATACATTATTGGTGCTGCTACATTGAACACACACACATACACATTCATACCATATCCGTTTTGTAAAATCCGATTTTGAAGAAATAAATAAGAGAAGAATATAAGAATATTATTAACAAAATTAAGAGATTTAATTTCAAGTTGTTACATACGAGAGGTGATAATGCTTCCGAGGAATCACTTTGTTTCCAGATTTTTTTGACTCTATTTTAAGGTGAAAACATACGTTAGAAATGTAAGCCAACGGAATGCATTGAATTGGCGCATATGTTTGCAGGTTTAAGGAAGATTGTACATGATATATTAATTAAAAGTTAATATAATTCACAGCGTAAACAAGTTAAATGTGGGGTATACTAGAGTCAATTATCTACTGACCAGTTTGTCCACTCGTGAATGCAACTCCTCCTATATTACAGGACGGTATTTAAAAAAACTAAAAAACCAACAACAACATGAATGCCTATTCTGCATACAGAAGATGTGGACTATTGGATATTTATTTCTTCAAAATCGGATTTTACAAAACGGATATGGTACGAATGTGTATGTGTGTGTTCAATGTAGCAGCACCAATAATGTATGTCTTTTTATTAAGAGATTTAATTGTAAGTGTGTAACACACAAGATGTGGTATTTGTTGCAAAAGATAACTTGTCTTCTTCTGCTGTGAAAAGTTTTTAGCGGTGTTTACGTTATTTTCGCTGCATTTAATTTTTTACGACGGCCGTTTTTTTGGGTCATTGATTGTGTGTTTGTAAGAGTGTAGACAAAGTTCAGTTTTAATAATAGGCACATGTTATTTATAAAAAAACCGTCAACTAGTCCTGCAGTAAACGTGATTGTTCAAATGGATTTTTCTTGTTTGTTTTAACTTCAAATAGATTAATAATATATGTTATATAGATTACTAATACAAAACGAATGTTACAGGTTCCCTCGTCACATTGTGGTTTCAACATGAAATTTCATTACTTCATAAATTTTAGAGAGAAGAGAATTGTATTGTTTAAAAAAATAATCTTGTTTTAATTATATTCGAGTTCTTTACCTGTTGATTGCCCAGAGAATTAATGGTATTCTTACATCAATGTGCTATATCAGCTTATAACTCCATAATACCACTGGTCACCACATCCCTAAACCTAAGTCGGGGTGTTAATCATCCCGGTCCTATAAAAATTGGAACAGATCAATCCGACACGTTTCTAGTTATAATAATTTGCAATCTCTTTTTTTTCTATTATGAAATTATAATTCATAACGCATTTATAAAAACTGGAGGAGTTTAAATGTTAAATACATGTACGCCGGCGCAAGGGGATTTACAATAGTGGAGTTAGATTTTTGTAAATGTTAAATAGGCGCTATTTTTTTTGTTTTGTTTCATAGCTTTTCTGTAAACAGAACAAAATTGTTCTATAAAAATGATATAATGTTTATTGCTACACAATAAAATACAATACGGACACAATTTAGAATATTGGGCACCTTGAGTTAATCCATGCCGAGATGGCCCATGCCGATTTTGTTTATGGCCGAGGTGGCCTTTTACAAAGCGCTCTACGGTGGTATCTAAACCAAGTCAGTTGCAATTTTAGTTCATACTCGAGTATCATGAACCAAACCGGACTGTCGCCCCTATCTCTTATTGTCTCCTGAACTTGGAAGCTGATACAATTTCTTAAACTTTGTACAATAAAAACAAATAACAACCAAAAATAACCTTTATCATAAAGTTTATTTGTGAATGTGATAATGTAATGTATAAATAATAATGAAATGAAAGACTTCAAATAAATTTGGCACCATCACTTGATTTAAGTTAGGGGTCATCTTTTATCTGAAACTTTAGACATCTAGTAAGAATCACCTGAAATTGGAAAAAGAATAAATGAATTAGAAAATTCAGAGGACAAAGTGATCTATGGATTGCAAGTACTATACGTTCTTAAATTTTAAAAGATATAAAAATATGAATCTAGATAATAGCACGAAAACTTTTGTTATAATAGATTTACACATGTTTTTTTTTTGCATTTAACGTGTCAAAAAGAAAAAATAATAATCAAAGATATTGAAAAGTTAAATATACTTACGAATTATTGATCTTCTTGGAATATAGCTTGAACCCCTTGGTCTATAATCTCGATCACCAATTCCTCTAAATAAACCATCTCCTCGTGTAAAATGTCCAGATCCAGAACGGTGTCCTGATTCAAAATGGCGTCCTGATCCAAAACGGCGACCTGAATCAAATTCGCGTCCTGATCTAAAATGACTATCTGAATCGAAATGGCGTCCTGGTCCAAAACGGCGCCCTGATTCAAAATGGCGTCCCGAACCAGAAAAGCGACCAAATCTGTCGTTGTCGAAGCTACCGTATGATTGCGCGTAAACACAGCACAACACCGATAAGGCGGCAATGATTACTAAGGTGTTCATGTTAAAACTGAAATTTGAAAGAAATAAAACTATGAATAAAAGTAAAATTTAAACTAGGAACCTTTTAAAATGTAACATTGATTTATTTATTTGAAAATATTGAAAATGACATTAACTATGAAATTTGATGCATTTACTTTTTTTATCAGTATTCATTGACATTAAGTCCAGTGGGAATATAGCTATATTCTAAAGTAGAAAATTATCATAATATTCACATTTATCTAGATATAGAAAACAGCTTACCTTGTATGTTTCAAGATGTACTATGTGTGAGCTTGAAGAAGTTAATCTGATACCGAGAAAACTTTTCGAATCATTTATATATCTTTCTGAAATTGGAACTGAAGTAACAAAAATGTGGTTTATGACGACAAGTTGGTAAACACTGACGTAGCTATGTTAATTAACCGATAAATCTTCATTTGACAATTTGCTTCCTCAACCTAGTCACGACTTAATTTATGCACGTCAATAAACTCTATTTTTAGACATTTTCATACACTAGTGAACAAAGAACCAATCTAAGGTCAGCACATTGAATCAAAACAACAACAAAAGTATAAATAAAGAATATGAACTATACACGATGATGTTGTGGGAAACTAAAATTTATTTTATCATTTTGTATCTATTTCAAACATTGAATTTTTGTAGAAACAAACTTCGATTGTAGCTACTGTTGTAAAAATGTTTTAATTTGTGTTTAAATGATTCTCTAATAAAGAAATAAATTCACACCTTTCAACGATAATTCAGAGAGATAGGAATTTGAACAAGGAACAAGCATAGCGTTCATCAATGTTAAATTCATTGATTATCGCACTAATCCATTGAATATCGTTTATATAAATGCCCTTCGTACAAGACTCAATAAAACATTTTTGAGCCGAAATAAAATGCAATGTACAGTTTGTTATTTTCTTAAATAAACATCAAATCTTTAAGTTATTGTATACAAATTTGGCTGTCACATAAATTTAGAATAAAGCTTATTTTCACTATTTTTTTCAGAACATTTGTTTGGATATTAAAGTGGTCAACTGATTTGCTTATTGCACTATCTCTGCTATTGTGTGTCTACGCCCAGTCATACAATAATTGTGACCCTTACAACAACTATGATAGATCTGGTCTTCTAGCTCGATCAGGATATAAGCACCGGATCAAGGCATTTTCTCCCCGGATCAGGGCGCTTAGCAGGAGGTTTGTTGAGAGGTATTGGTGGCCGACATGTATATAGACCAACTGGCTCCGTTTACAGAAATCATATTTTATTGCTATATACATGTATATACAATACAGATACAAATTTCATATTTATTCTTAACAGCAAAAGCAAACGGATTGGGCCCAAGTTCTTACAACATTAGCGGTCGGCCCTCCCCGGTAGTTAATGAAACGTTAAAACGATATTCAATACTTAATGGCATATAACATAAACATAGTGTATATCATGTATAATTAGACTAAGCTAACATATAAATACAGTTTCAGATTACATTCCGAGAAGACAAATTAATCGTAAGTTTATCTATATTATTCTGCATAAAATTACTTTGCTATATATGAAGAGTCTCTGTATTCCAAAATATTTCTGCATCTTCATTATTTAGAAGCAAAATGTTGTGACAGAAACACTTGTTTAATATTTGCAAAAAAAATATTTATTACCGGTAACAGGTTTAAAAATAAAATATTTTAAAATAAAAAATAATTAAAATACTTAAATCATATGTAGTAGCAACAATTTTACATACGTTCATTCACTTCTTCTCTGGAGTTATTTAGAAAACTGCTATGTCATGAAATCACATAATGAACTAACTCATAAAAAAACAACCATAAATAACCGAAAGCATTACGTTTATCTATATAGCATATTATTATTAATAGCATAATTATGCATGGTAAGAATGATTTTAATCTGTCAATCATTTATTTACTTTCCGTACAAAACTTCAATCTTTTTTATTGTTCCAAATTTTGTTTACGTAAATGAAAATTATTAACGAGGAACAATTAAAGGGACTCCACTGAGGTTTTTGACTGGTAGGACTGGAAATAATTTATATATATATTAATTTCCATTTGATATAGGTCTAGGTGCAAAATTTCAAAACATTCGCCCTTTGCTGTTTTTCAGAATATCTATTCTAGACGTAAAAAATGCCAAAATTGATAAGTGTTGCAACACTTTTTTCTCAAATCGAGTATTTTCTTTATTATCTTTTGCATATTTTCCTGTTTTGATCTCCAGCTGATGTATGTAGGAAATTCAAATTGAATGCTTTTATGTCTCCAGACATCCGTTGAGTTGATATACGATGTTGAAAAGGGGAACTAGTTTATTATAAAACAGATATTCGATTATAATTATATTAAGCAATATATATATTCGATTGTGTAATTTTCCACTCAACTTTCCTGAACTTACCAAAACTCGTATCATGTCAGGAAACAATATACTATTCAAAATTGAAATCGTTTGGTTTTGAGTGGACACTACATAGGTAATAGTTGACAAAGATGACTTTAGTTTCTTAATGAATGGATATAGAATATGAATAGATAACGTTAATATAGAACGCGCATGAATATTTTAATGACAATATCTCAGTTCTTGAATTGTTAGGAAAAACAATGATTTAAGAGATATAAAAACAACATAGCCAAAACACGACAATAAAGTCAACAAAAATACATTCATCAACCTTTAAATGTTAAGCCACACGTGTTTTGTTTACAGTTAATATTCAAATATGTTAGATATGTGTTTGTTGTACAATTTATATGAATAAAATCGAGGATATTTGTGTGTTTGTGTGTAAGATGATTTTTTTTTCATCTCCTGAACTTTCAAAACAGTATTCGCACAGGTGGCTTCGCCACTCGTGAGAATACTGTTTTTAAAGCTCACGAGATGAAATAAAATTACATCTTACACAACAAACACATTTTCTTTTTATTTTATGCTTAACAACAAGCTAAAACGAAATTTCTTTGATATTAACTTTAATTTTAAAAACTGTTTTCCACACTGATATCCTCTATTAGTCGAATTTCTCATAAAATACAAGAAATCTGGAAACAAAGTGATCCCTCGGAAGCATTAATCACAACAAAATTACAAGATAATTGCAGATTCGGTTTGATTGAGTCTGTACATGAGGGATAATGAATACGTGCAAACATCCCTCACGCCCCTAGCACCGGCTTGAGCGGTACTCAATTCTCAACACTTAATAGTGCTGGCATCAATGATCCCGAAGGAACAGAAAAATATAACAACACTGAAGTGAAGTACGAGGCATTTTTACAGCAGCTACACATCACTTGACACCTGCTGTTGTGAAGTATAAAAATCTGGAAACAAAGTGATGAAGCAAGTCTTGGTCTAAAAAATTAGTTCGACGATCAACGTTAAATGGCGATGATATTATTCATTTAATTCAAATAATATAAACGATCGCTTGTTTTAATAATAAAAACAAACAATTCTAGTAGAAGAAAAAGTCACACCATCCATCCATATTTCTGTTATTTACGGCGATTTTATATTAGACCTGGCTCTGTAAAATGTAAGCGGCCGCCATATTTAAAAGTTGTGAATTTCACGGGAGGAAATAATTGTGTTGGATTCAGAGGGATATCATTTGGATTTGTTAGTCATACATCTTAAAAGAAGAAAGAAAATTTATTTGAGGATTGTTACAGACAATAAATAAGTGTTGACAGATGTGAAAACATTCAAAAGCCGCTACGAAATTGGAATTTTTGAAAGGCTTCCTTACGAACGCTGGGTTGTTTACTTATTCTTCGGGCTGATGTCTGTTATTGCTTTTAAGTTATTGGGCAGTTATTGCTCGTAGGATACGTAAATATGCCCAAATGTCATCAAGAGAAGTTTTGCATGTAAGAGGAATTGTATTTTTCAAACTGTAAAAATGAAACAAAAATTTAGAGACGATATTTGGTGATTTGTAATTTTGAATGAATTGAAATAAGTTTCCTTCTTATTATTACCTTTAAAATTTCAGTTATTTATCAATTTAAGCTTTGCTTTTCTCTAAACAGCCCTGACAATGTCAGAATTGTCAACAATAATAAAATTGATGTACCGCATGGGGAAAATCTTAAAAATTAGTCTCATTATTGAAAAGTGTGATTTTATATTTTGATAATTTCACTGTGAAATTATCAAATATAATGTTCACGGATAAATCAGTAATCCACTGAAAAGCATAAAATAATTGAGGTTATTAGGTTAATAATTGACAGGACTATAAATTGAAGCATTAATTTCGGTACCAGCGTTAGAAAACGTCATTTGAGATCACTGACACGAGTAACAATCATGATTTCATTTTTTAAAACGGCATATATATAATATTCGGTATGAACCTGGTGTATTAAACTTGAACAGATGTACTCTAGATTCTAGAAAAAAATCATATCAAAGGTATCAACAATATCACATAATCAGTTTTTTCGAATCTTAAATCTTGTTTTGTTTTATGAAGTAGATTTAAACTATGAATTTCTTCAAAACGATACAATTTGTTCAAAATACATATTTTCTTTGCTGGATAAATTGTATAGAGAAGAGAATTGTATTGTTTAAAAACCATTATCTTGTTTAAAATTATTTTCGGGTTCTTTACCTAAATACTTTTCACACTTTGTTGTTGTTTGCCCAGAGCATACATTGTATTGTTGTTACATGTGTATCAATCTGCTATATCAACTTGAAACTCCATAATACCACTGGTCAACACGACTCTAAATTAAGTAGGGCTGTTAATCATCACGGTCCTGTACAAAATGGGAACAGGTCAATCAGTCAAATAACTGGTTATAATAATTTGCAACGCCTTTTTTTCTTTTTTGAAATTATAATTCTTAACACATCATAAAAGTGGAGGAGTATATATGTTTAATATGAACGCCCACGCCAGGGATTTAACAATGCTGGAGATAAATGTTTGTAGATGATGAATAAGTGCTCAATATTTTGTTTGTTTCATAGCTTTTCTGTAAAAAGTATCGGAGATGTTATTGCAGGTTTAACAGAACAAAATTTTGTTATAATGATATAATGTTTATTGCTACACAATGAAATACCATAACGGACACAAGTTAGACAATTGGGCACCTTGAGTTAATCCATACCGAGATGGCCCATGCCGATTTTGTTTATGGCCGATGTGGCCTTTTACAAAGCGCTGTACGGTGGTTTCTAAACCAAGTCAGTTGCATTTTAGTTCATACTCGAGTATCCTGAACCAAACCGGACTGTCGCCCCTATCTCTCATTGTCTCCTGAACTTGGAATCTGAATACATATTCTTAAACTTTGTACAATAAAAACAAATAACAACCACCAAAAATA